AGTTTTTTTGTTTGTCTCCTTCCTGGAAAGAACAAGAAGTGCTTTTCCTGTTGGAGTCCCTACCGCAACAAAGACACTTCCAAAACGGTGGCAGGGACCCCACATTTAGTGGTGGCTCTCCCGTTGGTCTTTGTTACAGCCAACCTGAAAAGGATTCTCTCAAAACAAAACAAACCCATACGGGGAATCTTGGGGGGAAGGTTTTGGGGACCGGGGGTTTAGCTGGCGAGGATTTGAGGGTGTAGTGCATGAAGGAGGCTCCAACATTAATGTCCATGAAGTAGGCCCAAGATGGAAACCTAAAAGATTAAAAGGTCAGCCTTGGGCAATCGGTAATAATCTTGGGGTTGATTCCTTTTCAAATTGATCCCTAGGTTTCCTTGAACGGATCCCAAGTGGTTCATTCCCAACTCCCCTCTTTCTATGTGTCTTTTTGGAAAGCATCAAGGGTTGATTCCTTTTCCAGCTCAATCACCATTTCTTTTCCACAGCCAAAGATTGTGGTTTTCTAGAATAACTTGGATCCCCAGGAAAGAATGCTTGTTGTTGTTTTCTCCAGTAAGGCAACCTCAAGAAGGACCACCCTTCCGTGGGAGTCCATTTCCCTGTTTCCCCGGTGAGTGCTTAGATGGTCTTGGGAGCGATTGCCAAATGGTTCGTTTCCCTACTGAGTTATTGGCAAGAGTTGGAGAAGGGGGTCAATCGGGAATATGCAAGCCATGAATGCACGTCAGAGGGCGCAAGTCTCCTGTTTTGGTTTCATCGTCCCCTCGCCCACATACCAGCCACTTGACCCCCCCCAAAAATGACCCGCAGAGGTAGGTGAAGGGCAATGAACAGAGGGGTAAACAAGCCATAAGTAAGGCTTACCTGTCAGACTCACCTGCCACCAACTGCTGGCTTTCTTTAAGGGGATGCCAAACGGTTCATTCTCAAAACCCAGCGATCACAGCAAGGTGCTCTCCGTAAGTCATTTTTAGAACGATGTACTCCAAAGAAAGGGACCCATCCCCATCCACCTTCCCGAATCTTGTAGAGCTTGAATGGTGCCAACCTTTGTGCTGCACTGCATGCTCGCTCGCTTGCCTTCTGGCCTCCTCACGTGCTTCGGATCTGAGGATGCAAGACAGCAACCTCACGTCGCTGAGCCGCTCGGGTGGGAATCGAGGTAGTCTGGAATCGGGCAGCTTCGCCAGAAACCCCCAGCTGCACCCTTCCCCTTTACACGGCTGGTCTTTGGTGTGACCGAACCCCGGAGACACCTTTTGTTGGAAACGAATATATTTTTTCCATTCAACCTACAAAGGCTTAGGCCTTTTGCTCAGGGAAAGCAACCCACTGGCTGAGGCAGTTTTTGCTTTACAACCAAAACACGGGGTGCCCGTTTTACCCATGATCCACAGGAGGCCTGGGGGGTACTTGCGCAACCAGTTGCTGTAGAACCTGGTTCAAGGACAACCTAGATTTGTGTGTGTGTGTGTGTGTTCTGTTGAGGGTACCCGTGTCACCATGGATTGAAAGGAAGCCATGGGAAAGCAGCCATCTTGGTGCCAGTTGTTGTGTGCTTTATTTTCCAAGATGTCCCCCAGAGACGTGTTGATTCTCAAATGGCTGACGTCCTGCTTTCCTGAGATGCCTTCTCCAATCGGCTCCATGCACGGCTACCTCTCTCATCGCAGTCTGTGGCAAATCCCAAGAGAATTCCAGGCCTTTGGCAATCTGTGGTTGTATGGGTGTGTTCTTAAAATAGGACCCACGCGAAAACAATGGTTGGTCTCCTTTTGGGTTCTCTTCAAAACCCACCAAAATCGGGATCCCTCCCAAAAAAGATGCACCCATTTCGGTTCCCGCCATGCAGCTACCTTTGGCTTCACCTTCAATTAGCCTTTGAGCAGTGCCAGACGTTGCCCGTTTTGTGTTCCTTCATTTTCCTTGCAAGCAACAAATTGACTTTTTGCCCCTGGGCGATCTCTGGCCTGTGTAGCTCTGGTGTAGGTAGCGTGTTCGAAACAAGGGCCATGCGTATACTGCACGTCGATGTTTGACCCCCGTTTCTGGCAGTCTTCAATCAACGCGACCCTGAGTCCAGGTGGGATTCGCTACTTCCATTTGCTTCTGAGTAGTTTGTAATTCCCCTGTTGGTTTTAAAGGGAATCTATCACTACTGAAAATCTGTTTTCCAGGGGACTTACACAATGGAAGGCTAAGAACCAGCAAGATTTGAAGCACACTGATTTTGCTTCAGGTTGTCGGAGAAGTGTTCACTCGCTTTCCCCCTTTCGAGTGAAGTTAGTACACGCAGCGGCTGCCTCGCAAAGCGTGCAACCTGCAGCAGCTGCAGCAGCTGCAGCACAAGCAGCGCGGGTTAATTTTCATCTGTGCCCAGGGATATGCGTACAGGCATGCCTTGTTGAGGGGTCGTAGCTTGGCACCAATGCCGAGCTTTGGTTTCGGACTTGTCCAAGATGGACGGAGCTTGTGGGGCCTTATCTGGTTCTATCTCATCCACAAGTCTCCTCAAGCCCTTCCTCATGAGACCGATCTCAGCTTTTCAGGCTGATCTGAGCTTTTCAGGCCGGGTGTAGTGTGTGCGCGTGTGTCCTTTTTTCCCCAAAAAAGTAGGGGGGACCTCGAGGGCCATTTTGAGGTCCAAGAACACCTTGCCTCGGAGATCACCAACCATCCCGATGGAGGGTCCTTTCTGATGCTTCGGGCTTGGTAAAGATTTGATTTTTCGGGGGAACTTGCTGGTTTGATGGGTTGTGAAGGAGGGGTTTTGGGAATGAAACGAAGGATTCTCGTTAAGGAAGCCATACAATTTTCTCCGTGGGTGCCTGGAGAGACCCTTTTTGGAAACAGCTGGTTTTCGCATACCCAGAAAATATCCGACTCGACCTTTTGCTCGTTCAGGGGGCGGAGGGAGCGCAATTGAGAAGGTGCACGCCCTGCCACTTGCTTTTTCTGCTCACTGGTCCAAAGCGAATCCACCTTTGGATCTTTCCTTTCTTGGCCCAGGCAGGAGGTGCGCCTTGAATTCTCCAGGTCCAGGTCTCTTTTAAGTTTGGCTTCTTCTTTCCCGGCTCCAAGGACCCTACCCAATGCACCACTTCTCCACTCCCCACTTCCCCCGCGCCCGCTGCCCGGACCGCGCACCCTGTTTTTGCAGAGGCCACCTGGGGAATCTGCTCAAGGAGCGCGGCAAGCTGCAGGAGGCGGAGGCCTTGCTGCGCCGGGTGCTCCGTGCCTTGGTTCAGAGGGAGGCACCAGAGACTCGCACCCTAAAAGAAGTTGGCGTCGGATTTTGTGTTTCCAGGTTAGGCAGAGTCTGAGCATACTACTTTGTGGGCCTACGAAAAACGCCCGGAAAATTGGGGGAAACCGTGACCAATCTTAGCATCGCCCCCCAAGGAGAAGCTCTCACCTTCAGCAAAAAAACATATCTGAAGCCCCCTTTAGCGGCAAATACGGGCGGATGCCACCTATGTTTTGCAAGTAAACCGACCAGAATTGTCCAACCAGCTTGGCAAATCACGGGTCCTCGCAAAGTTTTGCTGGAAGTGAAAAGGCGGTTCATAGGGCCTCAACGACTCGCTGGGGTAGATGAGTTGTTAACTTGGGCATCGAAATGAGCTTCGAGGTCGGCGCGGAAGGTGCCTTTCTTGAGCTGCGAGCTTTGGAAGGGCTCGGAGCGGATTTCGGAAGGGTGCAAGGTGGGTTGCGTTGCTGTTGGGAATACCTGAACTCAACAATTGGCTTGGGATTCCTCAAGAACCCGGCCTGTGCCGAGTGCTTCAGTAATGGAATTAGTAGATGCCCAGAACCATCATGCAAAACCTAGAGGCAAAAGCACCTGGCTAGCTGCCATACAAAGAGAATTCCAGTAGTCATGCCAGCATTTCGTCACAGATTTCGGGAGATTTCCCCGCCATGCTGGATAGAATTGAATCTTGCGAGCAAGCAAATCCGCACCCCCTCTTTGCAGTAATTTGCCATGGTGGGCTTGGGTATTGGCTTACTTGCAAAACCTGAGCGGCCTGGCATAAGTTGTTTCGGAACTCTCAGGCGAGCGCAAGCAGCTGGAGCCCTTGCATCTGGAGACCTTGGCCTCCGCCTGCCACCTGGCAGCGGTGCTCGAGGCACAGAAGCCCAAGGACGGAGCGAGCCGGGGCGAGCCGACCGCAAGGGCGGGAAGGCGCGCCTTTGACCCCATCTTGGTTTTGGGACGAATAGGCATTTTATTACAAGCATGTGTTTTTTGTCTCTGTTTTTTTTCCCCGCAAATGAATCTTCGAGCTTTGACCCCGGGTTTTTGCGTCAAACTGGGGTCGGCAGTTGAGTTCACCCCAAACAAACTGCGACAGCATTAGCTGTTCCAGAACCAGACATCAGGTTACCCCACCATATGAGTTTGTCAAGGAAGACCACCCGGAGTTTGCATAGAATTTGATAACGCACAAATCTAATCATAGCATTTACACAGGATTTCCTTTCCACTAGAATATTTGCAACTCAGTTAACATTTAACCACACCTTGTTTAAATCGAGCAACTCGAATCTTCATTCAAGATGTGAAGAACATTGCAAGCTCACCGTGACGAGCTCTCTTTTTGGGGTCCCCCTATTTTGCCACACACTCATCTGGGTATGTAAAGTGGGGGGGAGCAGAGATCCCAGGTCCAACCAGGGTCATATGTTTGTCATCTCACATGTGTTCCAAATGGGGGCACCCCCAAAATGGATTTCGGTCTCCATTTGGTTTACCCATATTTACCATTTTTTTGGGTAGCGAGCTTCAGAAACAAACACCCATTCCCCCTATTTCGACACATACACAAGTTAGTTGTTTTCCCTGAAGACAAGGCCAGCACGCAATCATTTGCCTTTGCAATGCGATCTGGGATTAACACAAGCTCAGCTTGGTGTAAGTCCTTTACTCGGGGATCGCTCTTTTCAGGTCTCGAACAAACATGTAGAAGTCGCTTTCCTTGAATAACATGGTTGTGGACAATTCGTGTTTAGGGCAGCTTTCTGTAATGCCAAGCACATCCCCTTGAAAATGATCATGTAGTCATGGGGATGGGAATCCCACGTTGGTATCATGAACAAGAGTTATGTTCCGCCCTCCTGAGAAAGGGCCAAGGTGACGGGCGTCCTTTGATGGGAGCGCCAAACATGCCAAGTGGAAGGCGATGTGCATAAAGTGGGCGACAAGCTTGCTAGGAAATTTATGCAACTCCAGTTGTTACTTGAACGCGCGCTGTAACTAGGATAAACCATGATTATCATGCGGACCACGTATCCTAGGGCAACCTTGGGTGCATGCTTCCCCACGGTAGACTTGAACCCAGGCTAAATAGCGTTGAAGGGAGGTAGACTGAAACCAAGGCAAGTGTTCAGTTCCAACCAAAAGGAGGACCTGTGGGTGGGGTACTCAAAGAATGGAACCTTATGCCGAGAAGGTTGCGTTTGGGTTGCTTTTAATCTGAAGTTTTGGGTGTTCTGAGGAGGGTGAGCTGTTATTGTTTGGGCCATTCGTTCGGCGCCTTTTGGGAGTGATGCTTGCGTCAGGGATATGAAAAGGAAGCTTGTTCTAGGTTTTGGCGGGCTGCTGAACCGAACCTTTGGGCCGACAGTACCTGAACATCCCAAGAGGACCACTACAACTTTGCGCACGGAACGCGTCCCGCAAAAGCAGGCGTCAACCGCCTTGACCATTGCAGTAGTTCCCCTACTCTCTCCGGTGAAAGTCGGTGCGTTTGCGTCCAACTTCGTGTGCCATGCAGGGTACTGATTCAGGAAGTCGGTGCGGCTTGCGTCCACATGGGGGTTTGCATATTCATGGTCACCGTTGAACTCGAATTCCATGCGGCAAGATTTTGTGTGAGCAGAAATTATATTGTGCATGCCATGCGGCGCCCCATTGGGATTTGTTGCTTCCGGTGCTCCCACTTGATACTTGTCCCAGCTGCGCATCCCATTGCGCCCCATTGGGATTTACACATCGTACGTCCAAATTAGCGCTTTAAGCCGGACATCTTGACATGCTGCATCACAGTGGGATTTACACTTCGTACGTCCATTAAACCGGATATCTTGACATGCTGCGTCACAGTGGGATTTTTACTTGGTACGTCCAAACTAGCGCTTTAAACCGGACATCTTGACATGCTGCGTCACAGTGGGATTTACACATCGCACGTCCAAATTAGTGCTTAAAACGGACATCTTGACATACTGCGTCACACTGGGATTTACACATCGCACGTCCAAATTAGCGCTTAAAACAGATATTTTGACATACTGCGTCACAGTGGGATTTGGCTAGTGTTGCACTGACTTCTCTGACTTCGTGAATGCGCTTGCGTCACAGTGGGATTTGCTTGTGTAAGCTGTCGTGCACTGACTTTCGCCGCCGAGTGTAGCTTTCGGGTCATCATCGAGCTGTTTGGGATGTTTGGAGACATCAAGGGCATCTTTGCCCTTAAGATCGTGAACCAAGAAATCAAAGGCAAATCCTAGGCCAGGGGGGGTTCATGTTGACAAAGTTGTAGCCTTGGCTACTGACCTTGAAAGAGTTCTAATCGTCCGACCACTTTGTTTGGCAAGGGCCTCTGCGTTAGGAGGCGGAGAAGTTGCTGCGGGAGGCCTTGGAAGGCAGGTCGTTGTTGTTTTTTCCTCGGCCTACGTTTCACGGAGGTTTCATGGGTCTAGGGTGTGGTTCCTTGTTTTGGAGTTGGTCGCCTTTTAGGAGGATTTTTTTTAGACGGAAACAGCAAGGAAAGCTGAGATCCATTCCAAGAGTTCCGATTTGACACCTACCCATCTTGTCTCAAACGGGGGCCCGGCATGCTTGTTGCCGAGCTTTGCCATCGGTTTTCCCTCCAAGTCCAAAGGTGGCCTCAAAAGGCAGACGGAAAACCCTCAGCCATGCAAAAGGAAGAGCAGTAAGGGCTACTGGCACCTAGTCATTTTGCCTGAACCAACGGTTGATTAGTTTCAAGAGTCCTCGTTTCTTTCGGTGTTTACAGACATCTAGTTGTAGTTGGGCTTTTGGGGTGCTGAAATCTCCTGAAAAGCTTTTTCCCACGTCGAAACATGGACCATCTGAAGCGCACTCGTATGTGTTTGGGGGGTGGGGGGAGTTGGATGTATGGCTTGGGGTGCAGGGTCCTCTCTTTTGACCCGTGTTTCCCGAGAAAAAAAAGACGGGCGGACACCATCTGACTGCCCGCAGGCTACGAGCAGCTGGACCCGCACCACGGGCAAGCGCTGGAGGCGCTGAACAGCTTGGCCAAGCTGCTGCAGGCCAAGGGCCGCAGAGAGGAGGCTGAGGCGAGAGGGGAGGGCGACAGGGACGGTGGGGGGTTCCAACATGGGAATGTAACTCACTGTTTAAACTAAGTACCCCAAAAAGGGTACCCTGCAAGGAATACACTGGGTCCCTTCGGACGACGGTAAAAGGGCGGGGAGGCCAACCGAAACCTTCCCTGAGTTGGTCTTTGTGGGAGGGCAATTGGTTGATTTCTGTGGCTTCCTCTTGCCAGGGGACCCAACACGAAACGTTGAATCCTCAGGGTCAAACTGAAGATGGAGGGGTTCTCAGCATTACCTTGGGGAGTGGTTTGCCTGAAACGGCCACGAGGGTATTCTTCTTGATGTCATTTTAGTGGACCTAATTGATTGGAGGCGGCTTCACGTGTTTCTGCGTGGCCTCGAAAACTGCTGGGTTTCTAAGGCCCTTTGAGGAATTGGGTAGGGGCTCTTCCCGGGGGTTGCATTGACCCTTGGTGGTTCCTTGCCGCTCTTAAGGGACACCAAAAGGATTTCGAAACGCCATGTTTGGTTTCATGAGACGAACCCTGATTTGGCTGTGGGTCAAGAATAGGCACCGTAACCCTGGTAAATGGAACCGAGGACTAAAACCTGCGGTCCCTTGTGGTTTAGTTCTGACCCGTATCCATTTGCCTTGAAGGGGACGGGAAAATATTCTTTGCACTCCACAACTGTGGTAAGCAGGGATCTTCAAACATGCTGCAACCTTCTGCGACCGCTGAGTTTTTGTCTCTACGCCCAGGAAAGTGACTTAGCCCTGTTGCAAGTAGGTTAGAACCTAGCCCTAAGGGTCCTGACCGCCTTAAAAATGGTAGTGGTTTTTGACGGCCCGGAACCGGGAGTCGGGACCCGTTTGGACCTACTGAATCAGTTGCCATGGGCAAGCCTTCGTTTCTTAGGATGCTATGGCTTCCCTTGACCTCCTGAGGATTTGGGTTGGCGTTTCAAGGATGTTGGAAGGATTCATTGGCCTTGGTGGCTCCCAGGCATCCCCTGAGCTTTTAAGCTTTTTTAACTTTTAGTGTTTAGTGGGGATTTCCATTTAACCCGCTAAAAGTTTCACTTTTAGAAGGGGTCCAGATGGGTGGGCTTTTGGATGTATCCTACTGGAGACCTCTTGGCCAGGCTTCGAAGAAACCTTCGGGGGATGGCCAGGCCATCCCTCGCCCTCTCGCCTCTCGCGCGCCATGCTTGGTGCGAGGAACTGCTGCGGCGGGTGTTGACGAAGCGCGAGGACCAGCTGGGGGCGAAGCACCTGCAGACGCTGCTGGCGCTGCGGAAGCTGGCGCCTTTGTCCGCAAACGGAGGTGCCGTTGCCGCTTTTCGGCAACCTTTAAACCGATTTCCGTGCAGAAAACCCAATGGCGTTCAAACATTCCCCCTACATTGCAGGGTAATGTGAATGAACCGTACCCATGGTCCGAATATTTAGCACATCCACCCTTGTTGCCGTTTAAAGCCTGGTTTCCTGCGGTGGTGTTTAAAACACCATACCCTCCATTCCTCCATAAGCAGGTTTTGGACCTCACAACAGGCCTTTTTGAGGGCCCATGATGCTCAGGACGCTTGTGGTTGCATTTCGATGGGAGAAGCTTCTCGGTTCCCGTTGGAAACCACAATTTAGCTCGGGTCACGTTGCGGCAAGTGTTTCCTAAAAGCCGGGCACACTTGAAGTGGACTAGTGGCCAACACGCGCGCGGCTCCCTTTTGGCTCTTCGATTGGTGTGCAAAATTGAGGACCCCATTGAGGGAATATTGAGAGGGAGAACCCTGAGCCAAACCAAGTTTGGTGAGCCCTCACAGGAAGACCAATATCGCTTTTGAGCATAGCCCGGAACCCTTCTGAAAGAAGTCGTCATAGGGTTAGGGTATGTACAAAGGTATGATGACATGCGGTGCTTGCGGTTCCACTGGTTGCAGTTTGTTTCTTGGATGCCGGGTTGAGTAAAACTTGTTCAAAGAACTAGGCCCTTGTCCTCTCTGAAGGAAAAGCATCATGTATGTGTTTCAATAGCGGCTGAAACATGTTTCGAGGGTCTTGTTGTTTCCTTCGCCAGGGGCTCTGATTTTTCAGTCCTGGGGCACCAAAGCACTTTAACCTTTTGGTCTTCCGGGGACGTGCGCAGGGTTGGTTGATTAGATGCATTTGCCTAACGTATTATTCGGGATTTTCTCGATGAGAACCCCGGCCCATGGGTTTTGTTGCAACCGATTTCGAGGCAAAGAACCTCCGCAGCCAGAAGAAGCTCAATGACGCCGAGGCGCCCGGCTGGCGCATAGGCCAAACAACTCCCTGGCGTTTGTTGTGTTTTCGTGGTTGTGGAAGTTTTTGGTTGCCATGTTCTGCGATATTTCAGGGCATTGCTCTGTAAAGTGACGAAGTAGTCATGGGGGGGCCATCCATTTTGGCAACTGCCTTTGTCGGGGGGGGTTGACGGTGCAGGTTGTGGGGTGCCTTAAACCCAGTTTTTTTGCGTGGCATGATCATGAGATGATAATGTGCATATATTTAGACCCTGTCCACTTTTGGCGTTCCAGTTTAGGCTACCATATGGAACCTGACAATGTCTTGGGATGGGCGAATCAAATTGGTATCATTCCCCACATGTTTGGCCCACACGCGGATATCCGTGTCGGTCTATTTTTGTCAAGGTCCAACAGAAGATCACAAGAAGTCATCAAACAAGTGAGTTTGGAATCCACTGCAAGAGAAGGACGCTTAGCGGCAAACAGACAAACCGGAGCCCTCAAAGACAAAAATCTGCCACCGTTCGAACAAACCACAAGGAAACATGGAAAACACATAAGAAAATACAGCAACAAGTAACACTTTGCAGGAGCTCCAGTGGCGAGCTCTGGAGGGCTACGAGCGGCAGCTGGGGGAGTCCGCGGTCGAGACGCTGCACCTCGCCTGGTTCGGCCATGGCTTCGTCTCAAAAACTTGAGGCACAAGCAATGGGCTTCGGTTTCGTTGTTTTCGGCTTCCCAAAGAGGCTCGGCTGGCCAGACCTATATGTGGGCGTGGTGCCCTTTTTTGGTGGCTGTCAAAGGGAAGCCAAGAGGACACCGTGGCCATTTTTGGGCGTCTCAACGACAGACCAGCAACATCCCAGGCGTGTGGGCGTGGAGCTGGCTTCGCTGCTGCAGGCAGAGGGGGCGGGGCGCGAGATGTCGACGGTCGAAAGGTAGCGAAACGGGCCAAACCAGGGGGTTCAAATCATCATTAAAACAAGGGGGGGCTGATAAAAAAAAAAAAACAAAAACAAAAAACGCCATGGTTTTCTGAGTTTACCTGGAGATGGTCATCGTCAAAAAATTGGGGGGTCCTTGCCAGGCCAAACATGAAACAAGGGAGTGGAGTGTTGGTTCTGTTCTTTTTGAGCCTTGGTACCCTTTTTGTTGGGTTGGGTTCAGTGAAACCGAAAGGACAACCACCATTTTGGGGCCCTTATTTGGACGCTCAGCCCAAATGATTCCCGATTTCCGAACCTCCCAAGGAAAAGATCCCCGATCCCTGAACGTCATCCCAACGGTTCCATTGATCTTCACACCAAAAAACACCCAAAACTTGTGGAAACCTTCCAGGGGTCCAAGATGTTTTCTTTTTCTCCAAGAAGCATGGGCTCCCTTTATTCCATTGGACGAATCCGCAGCCCAAACCGTGCTGGTCGGGATTTTGAAGTCCCTTTGAACATCAGCTGCAAGAAGCTTTCCCTGTGAATTGGCAACCAACAGGTGATGTCTAAGACCCGGCCCGGACATGGTCCCGAATCTCTCTGCGTGCGGCCTTTTTGGAGGCCAAATTGTGGGAAATGAGGCCGAATCGTTTGGTTGGGGCTTTTTGCGGGTCAAGGTTTAGTTTCGATCCAGGATTAATAAACCCCTCGTCGATGATCAAGGTGTCCCATTTCGGAGCGGAGCCAAATCGCTTCCAGGGGAAAACCACACTGTTCCACAAGGTGTTTCCGCTTAGATTGTTTGGGTTTCGCCGAACTTGTTGGGAACCACCAGCTAATTTCATCAAGTCGAGTTGGACAGGGGCGAACCAGCAAGCTTAGTGCTGGCTCGCTTGGCTGACTCATGGACCATGTGGGCCTTTCTCAAAACGGACACTGCGTTACAGGGAGACCAAAGGAAGCTGCCCCACTTTGGAGAGGTCTATTTTGAGCAACCAGATCAGTGCCATGACATGATTGCACCCCTACCGCCCTCTCCTGGTTTCCCGCAGCAAAGGAGACCAAAAACACAACACCCACTCGCTTGTGGTTGGAAGGGAGGCAAGGAGCTAGGTGTGTCCAAATTCGCCTTAGGAGCTCAAGAGCTACGGATCGCAGTTCTGTACGAGCATGGTAATTACCCCATAATGGGCGGTCCAAAGGCCAAGCAAGGCCAACCATAGCCGTGAAAGAGGAGCTACGGAGCTACCAGAGGTTCTGGAAGACTATGGTAGACCCAAATGTTAAATGGGCGTTCCAACCATGATTCGGCCGTACCCAAGGCCAAAACGCCCGGCCACACAACGCCGAAGCCGGCCTTCGAAGCCGGCCTCGCCGCGCTCGACGGGAAGCCGCGCTCGCCGCGCGCCGCATGCGAGGAGCTGGGCGATCTGCGGGAATCCGAGCGCCAGTGGCGGCGTGTGCTGGAGGGCCGGGAGAAGCTGGGCGCGGAGCACGCAGACACGCGCCGTGGCCGTGAGACACCTCCGGCGGTGCTTGGGATTTCTTGAAAGAACCCATGGGGTGTGCCTCAAATTGGGCGGGGCAACCGGCAAACCCCCCAACATGGTGGCGGTTTCCCTTTGAAGCAAGGTCTGGTGTAGTATTTGTGACTGTGGGCTTAAAGGAAACCAACAAGAAAGCTAAGTCGAAGGAGCCTCAGGACTCTTGTTCAGTCAGTTCCTGTGACAATAGTGCAGAACAAAAAGAGACTGTGAAGGAAGTGCGATTTCCGGAAGAGACCTCTTTGTCTTCATGGGCTGGGGCTCACATTGCTCACATGCCCGTCGGTTGTTAAATGGGTGTACTGCTCCTCTGAATCGCCGCGGCTTCGTATATCTTTGTATTCCCTATCTGGGGAGCCGACGGCCCCCGATAGTGTGGTTTTCCTCTTAAACAGCCCTCAGAGGATTGGCAGGTGGGGTCAACAACCCGAAAAGCGAGGCCTCCCTTTGAAATGGGACACCTCTCCTATTACTCAGCCAAAGGTTGGTTAATACTGGGCTCCCATTACCTCTGAACCGTTTAAACCCCCTAGCGGGCCAGTCTCCTTTCCAAGAAAGTAGTCTAGGACGACGTGGTCAACATCAGGGGGCATGGATGAACCCAAAAAGGCAACCAAAAGGTAAGTCAATCAAGTTCAATTTACCCCTCTCCCATTGCTGCGGTTGACCAAGTATGAAACTGAATCTGAACATCGTATGTTCGGTGTACCCCAGATTTGAGCGAACCCTCCGGTTTCTATCTGGTCGTTTCGTTTTTCTTTTTCCGAGTCCCTGGTGCCAGGGTCGGGCAGAACTCGTTTGGACCAGCAACTCCTGGTCCGCTGTAAAGGGACATCTAAACTGGGCTGGTTTTTGGGGATGAGCAAATGAGCAGAGGTTCCTTTTTGACCTTCTGGTGTTTGCATTGTCCATGTTTTTTCGGTCCCCAAGGTGATCACCTTTTATTTTCCAGAGTTAAATCAGGTTGGTTGAGCCGCCCCAGGCTCACCACCTGCTATTCCCTGGCGGTGCTGCTGGAGTTGCGCCAGGAGTGTTTGTACGGCTCCCGTTTTCACGAGGTTTGTATAACGTTTCTGAAGAAACAACGTTGGGTTGCCCCGAGGACTTGATAAGTGGTCGGAGAAGGTGTTCCTTCTCTGTTAACGAAAGGTTTGGGTTTGTCCGTTTGTTTACAGATAGAAGCTGTTGGGTTGGATTGACGTAACCTTACAGAGTGTGTGTGTCCATTAGTTTGACCGTCTTGTTGCGTGTTTGTGTCAAATAACAACCCAGTGGGTTGGGTTGGTATTGAGAACGATGTTTTGTTGTGCATGATACATACATATATACACCACATACATATATTTATGTATATTTATGATGCCAAACACGCCAGATGGATTCCATGAACACTGGTGCTGGCCTTTGGAACTAGATGACAGGCCGGATGAGTTTGAACCTGACGAGGGCCATGGTTGCTGCGCAGAGATTCCACCGTTTCCCTTTTGGCTCAAAGGAATTGGTTCCTGTCACGGGGTCGTTGGGTATCAGAGCAACGAGGGGGACCCCCTGGAAACGAGCGTGCAGAAGTTGTGCTGAAACATGCTCAACCAAGAGCTTCAATTCTCCCCCCTAGACCCTGATTGTCCTTTCCAGGTTAGTTTGGTTGGATACAGATGGCACTGGTTTGGATGGGTTTTATGCCACATTTGCAAGGGCCATCTATTTTACCAAAAGGACACCAATGCTCTCCGCCCTTCATTAAGTTCAGGGGTCAATTCCCGGGAAGTCACATTGTGTGAATCGCATGGCGTAATTTTCGGGTCAAACACTCATGCTGGTCTTTGGTGTGGTCCCAAAGGCCCCTTAGACCTTACCTACAAAAGGTTTTACGACCTTTTTTTTGAAATCTTGTTTGGAGGACTTGGAGCAACCCATTTCGGGTGGCCGAAGTCAAAGGTTTACTTCCCGATTCGGCCTGTTGAGCGAGTGTCCCGCACAGAACGGTGAAAGGCACTCAAGTGGCGAGTGAGAATTGATGCAATTTGGCGAAGGGCAAAAGAGAGCTTGGCAAAAGGAAGGCAAGGAAAGCTTCTTCCCGCTCAGCCGGAAGCATTCAATTGGACGCTGGACGCTAGGCGTTTGCTGAAAAGCTGGATCCCCGAAGAACGTTACTGTACGAGCAGACGTGGCAGGCATTCCTGGCACAAGCCGCCTCCTCACTTGTGGCCGTGGTTGCTGGGATCTGTTTTGTTACCGTGCAAAAGCCTATTTTCGCAGTGGGCAGTAAGGATCTGATTGCCACAAACAATTCCCTAATGAGGACCCCATATCAATCAACCCCAGTTTTATTTATAGTTTTTTTTTCTATCCCAAAGTGATGATTCCCCACTAAACCCAACCCCCCTATGCTTACACCTGGGTTGCTTAATATGGGGCCAACATTAAAACACATGTTTGCCCCTGGTTCGGCCTATTCGCCGCTTCGTTTGAAGCCGCTTTTTGGCACCCTCTAAGCCACCCATGGTCGGAACCTAAGTTCGATGAACACTCCAAGTTCTTGAGGTGCCCCATGCTGTAAGCTAACCTAGGTCCCCCCGTAGTAATGCTTTTCAACCGCCCGACCTTCAGACCGGTTTTTTTTCAGGACCCACGGGACGAGGAGGAGGTGGAGCAGTTGCTGCGCCGCGCGCTGGAAGGCCGGGAAGTGGGAGGGGTCTCGGGGTCTCGGGGGGGTGGGTGTCTCAGAAGTTGTCTTGTTTTCTTCCATCGGCTCAGTTTTTTTTTTGTTAAACAAACAAACTGGAAATATGTTTATTTTTGCTTTGTTTTTCTTTTTCTGGGGACTTAAGCAAATAGCAGGGCTTGTTTTTTGGAGCACGCTTGCGTTTTGGTTCTTGTTTCAAGGCGGTTGCTTCAAAGCACCGAAAGGACCATTTGAGGCCCTTTGCTTGGCTTAGGGATATTCCAGCCCCCAAAACGTCCCGCTGGGTCCATGAGACTATTTGCTCGGAGATGTTCGGGTGTCTTTTCGACTCGAAGAGCCCGGATTCAGGGTTCCCTTTTGGTGGCTTGGATTTGGATTTGAACCCTTGGTTCTTGTCGGCAAATGCGAAACCCTTCGGTTTCACCGCCCAACCACCGGGCTCCAAACTGCGAATTAGAGGGAAGTTGACCAGATTGTTCCCTGTCCCTCACTCCTCCAGCAAAGCCAGCAAGAATGGATTAATGGGGGGTTCGCTCATTCGAGAGCAATTTCCTGAGTGGCCCATGGTTCTGGAAAGGCTGCGAAGAAGGCCGGGCGGATCGCACCTTTTTCTTGGGGCGGGTGAAGGAGCCGTTTTCATTGCAGGCTTTGGTGGTGTAGTGGGCCGGGGGGACATGGGGTGGTTCGGAGCTCATAAGGGAGGCGTCAACCCGTTTTGGATTGCTCAAAGAAACCTCAAGGACGCCACACAGGTTCGAGGCGCGCCAATGAATGACAGCTTTATATTATTGTTGCATTCCATTTTGTTTCTTGTTGCGGCCTTTTCCCAGCAAGAGACCAGCGATATCCAACCCATCTTTTCCAGGATGTTCAAGATGACCTCTCACAGTAGGCTAGAGCCAACGGTGCGCACTGCAGATGGTAGAGAACCAGGCAAACAAAGCGGGTTCTCACATCCAGTTGGAACTTCTTGACAAGGAAGCCCTTCGAAGACGGACGTTGCACCCAACTCAGTAGAGGGCCAGGATCGACGTAGTTGTTTTAGTCTTGTGCCTGGGCATGTCTGATTTCCCTAAGAGGATCCGCGAAGATTCACAGCAACTTGGATGTGTACCCCGCCGGTAAGTGGTCGATATTCCTGATCAACAAAGGTCCCCTAAGTGGGCTATATGTAGGGTAAATCCTGCGTAGTACAGCCAACTGTCAATATTTCATTACAATTGTTCGCAAGGGGGATGACATTGGGTACACCAAAACACAACAAATCTACGGGATTACTCACCAACTTGTCATCTCCCTCCGATTTTCCCAAAAAGTCGGCACGCTTTCGGAAGGCCGGGAGAAGCTACGTGGGCCCATGCACGAAGAGGCGCTGAGATGCCTGAGGATAGAAAACCAAGTTGCGTTGAACCACTGCCACCATTGCCTTGTCCAACCTGCCTATGAATCTGAAGAGGGAAGCATTTGTGAAGTGTTTGGTGGACATGACCCCCCCCCCAACAGAATTTTGACGTCCAAAGGGTCCCCCACCCACCTCTTGTTGATTTCTCTTTCGATGGGTAGGGTCTGATTGTTTACAGTCTAGGGGGTTCTAACAGAGGAAGAAGCCTTCCTGAAGGGGCCGGAGGATCATGCTCTTTTGAAGTTTGGAGCCCGGAGGAGGCAACTTCCCCATTCTTCTTTCCAGAGAGCCACCAGGCATTCAGGGAGACGTTGTATTTTTTTTTGTGTGGGAGAAAAGAACGGTGAAAAACAAAAGAATGGGGAATCAAAACCCGGATGTCATTCCCTCATTCCTTGAGAAGCAAGGAAAGACGATTCCCTTCAAGGAATCCACCAGAGGCGGAAGCAGGTCATTCCTTGTGATAACCATCTGGGATTCCCTTCAAGGACAGGGATGGTTCATCCTTCGGAGAACCAGGAAATGCTTTCACAAGGACCCTTCCCTCGAGTCGTCCCTGATTCCCTATCCAAGCCACCAAGAATGCTTCATAGGGTTCCCTCATGCCCTGAGAGCCGTTTCCTTCAGAGTGCCCCATCTACGGCCATTTTCCGTGATACCAAGGGAATCCCCTTAGCTTTGGCTCGAAAAAATGCTTAGCTTCGTCACAAAGGTTCTTTATCATGCTGCAGTCCTGGGAAACCAGGGGTTGGTTCAGGGCGCGCCTAGCCACCAAACCTCCCACCCCCCCAACCCCCCCAAAAAGCGAGGGGCGGTCTCAAGTCGCTCCTTGCGAAAGCAAAACCGCAGTGGAGGTCCTCGAAGTGGTGCGCCGCCTGGCGGCCTTCCTGGAAGCCCACGGCGAGATGGCGGAGGCGTTTGCTCAAGAGCGCTGGGGTCGTCCCCGCGGGTGCGACGGGATGAGGGAGGAGTGTTTGTTTAGCTTGGTTTGGTTTGGTTTGGTTTGGTTTGGTTTGGTTTGGTTGGTTGGTTGGTTGGTTTGTTTGTTTGTTTGTTTGTTTGTTTGTTTGTTTGTTTGTTTGTTTGTTTGTTTGGCTCGTTGGGCTTGTCGGCTTGGTTTGTTTGCTTGGTTGCCTGGTTTGTTTCTTTAGTTGCTCGCTTGCTTGCTAGCTTTCTTGCTTGCTTGTTTGTTTGTTTGTTTGTATGTTTGTGCATTTAGTTTGTTTGGTTTGGTGTGGCTTGGTCTAGGTTGTTTGGTTTGGTTTGGTTTGACTTGGTTTGGCGTGGTCTGGTTTGGTCTGGATCGATTTGGTTCGGTTTGGTCTGTGTTGATTTGTTTACATGGCTTGCTTGCTTCGTCTGTCTGTCTGTCTGTCTGTCTGTCTGTCTGTCTGTCTGTCTGTCTGTCTGTCTGTCTGTCTGTCTGTCTGTCTGTCTGTCTGTCTGTCTGTCTGTCTGTCTGTCTGTCTGTCTGTCTGTCTGTCTGTCTGTCTGTCTGTCTGTCTGTCTGTCTGTCTGTCTGTCTGTCTGTCTGTCTGTCTGTCTGTCTGTCTGTCTGTCTGTCTGTCTGTCTGTCTGTCTGTCTGTCTGTCTGTCTGTCTGTCTGTCTGTCTGTCTGTCTGTCTGTCTGTCTGTCTGTCTGTCTGTCTGTCTGTCTGTCTGTCTGTCTGTCTGTCTGTCTGTCTGTCTGTCTGTCTGTCTGTCTGTCTGTCTGTCTGTCTGTCTGTCTGTCTGTCTGTCTGTCTGTCTGTCTGTCTGTCTGTCTGTCTGTCTGTCTGTCTGTCTGTCTGTCTGTCTGTCTGTCTGTCTGTCTGTCTGTCTGTCTGTCTGTCTGTCTGTCTGTCTGTCTGTCTGTCTGTCTGTCTGTCTGTCTGTCTGTCTGTGTTTGTCTGTCTGTGTTTGTCTGTCTGTGTTTGTCTGTCTGTGTTTGTCTGTCTGTGTTTGTCTGTCTGTGTTTGCCTGTTTCTTTGTTTCTTTGTTTCTTTGGTTGGTTTGGCTTGGTTTAGTTTGGTTTGGTTTGTTTGATTTGGTTTGGTTTGTTTGGTTCGGTTGGTTTGCTTTGAATTGCTTGAATTGCTTGGTTTGTTTGTTTGCTTGTTTGGCTGGCTGGCTGGTTGGTTTGTTGGTTGGTTTGTGTGTTTGGTTTGTTTGGCTTGTTTGGTTTGTTGGTTTGTTTGCTTGTTTGTTCGGTTGGTTTGGTTTGTGCTGTTGTTGTTGGGTTGTTTGGTTTGTTTTCTCTGTTTGGTCTGGTTTGTTTGTTTGAATGGTTTGGTTGGTTGGGTTTGTTTGGTTTGTTTGTTTTACGGTATGAGTTAGCACAGGTCAGGTCACCCCAAGAAGAATAACATCAACTCAAATGGTCATTTGGACCATACTCTACAGTGTGATCATGTGCCCCGGAATCGCAGTGCCATAGGTTTCCATTCCTAGCCTGAACTGTTTGCATCCTTACATTTGGCTCAAGGCAAAAGTCCGTGGGCGGGGGCGGGTCGAATCCCTTAAGTGTTCCTCGTTTGCGGTTGCCATAGCATACACTGGAATCTGTCACTTGACAGTTGTTTGCACGGATTGCACAACTGGGTTCAGGCGGCGGATTCTTTTGGTTATCAACTGGGTTCAGGCGGCGGATTCTTTTCCCCACGCTTTGTTTTGTCGGGCATGAGGTGAACCCCTGCCAAAGAAGGACGAGTTTTGTTTTGGTACGCCTGGATTGCCATGGCCCGAACAGGAAGGATATTTGGAGCAACTTCCCGGTAGGTGTTTGGATCTTTTGGGACCATCCCAGTTCCCTGGTAGAGCCTTGCTTGTCTCCCGATCAGCATGAGTCGAAATGCTTGGTGTTGCGGGGCACTTTGAACCCAAGTCAAGTCACAATCATAGCAACCTGGGGTATGATTGAGCACCTCAGAGCCAACAGTGAGCACCTTGAACGGCTTCCAGTTTTGCACCGCTTTTTAAAAGGGCACTTGGGCATTGTGGCAAATCTATACACCTCAGAGCCTTTTGGATCTATGCGGGGTAGGACAGGATAACACGGGAATTGAGTTGTGGAGTATTTCAAAGACAGATTGAGTCACGAGGGAATCATGTGCATTATTTTGGTTGCCGCTCATGTTGGGGTGGTTTTGTTCACCCTCGCTACGGTACCTGCATGGCCGGTCTGGGGTTTCTCATATTTTGAGGAGACCAAACAAAATGTGTCGTTCCTTGAGTTTCATTTAGCGCCACCCCTCAAAGCATACCAGCCATACATCTACAATATGTATACATATATCATTCTATATAACAGTGTCACATCACCTGTCGGGTCAGTTTCAATGATGTTTTGTGTTTTGCGGACGGTTTAAGAGGGGACTCATTTTGTGGGAACATGATAGTAACCTTACAGAGGTTTGATTTGCAATCCACGATGGAATGCTTTTGGCAGTGCAGTCTGGAGCTCCTTTCTCAACATGGAACTTGAGAAAGTGCGTGGTTAGCATCATTCAGGCGTCTCCGGAAGAAGTAGGACCCCCCATCGACACTTTGGGTCTGTTTGCAATCGATTCAAAGGGTACTGATTTTCAACGCTTGCGCAGTCTCGTGTCCATGGCACGCACCCCCCGTCCCCAAATAGATGGGTTGCTTTCCGTGCGCTTTCCCGAGCCATCCTCAAAAGAGCGCCCATTGGTTGACACCTTCCCATACTGCACGGGCCCCCGGAAGAAGTTTCCATGGTTTTGCATAGTGAGAATCCCTCATGAAGGTTCCCACCGAAGGCTCTCAGCACCGAAAAGGAACCAAAAGGAGCTTGGTGTATAAACATATCAGCAGGGGCTGGGCAATCGTAAAGTGGGGCCAAATTGTGTTTGCGTGTTGGTAGTTTTACCCAGTTTTCCTCCCTCTCTCTTGCCTCTCTTCTCTCTTCTTTCTCTCTCTCTCTCGGCGATTTGAGGTTCGTTCTACACATGTTTTCATGTCTTCCCAGCCGCATTCGTTGACCGCCAGGCCGAGAGGCTCTACATCAGAGAGCTTCAAGCTGTGGAGGAACGGAGCTGAGCGCTTTGATTTCTATTTGGGGCTCTTGGATTCCTACAAGTGGATCGCGACCTATATCCTCATTCGGGGTGGGGTGGGCGTAGTCGGACAAATTTCGGATGTGAGAGCTCTTGCATACTCTTACGTTTCGACCAGTGAAACGGCAGACAGAACATGCTCACTGAGTGCTGCTTTATCATTGTATCGAGCAGAACCCAGTGCATTGTGGGGCTTGTTACTTTGCGAACCACCATGTTGAGATGTCGCATGGGGGCACGTGGCACACTCACCAGCGTGCTGCAAGAGGCTAGTACGGCGAGCGTTTCCTCGCCAACGGGCTGGGTATTTACTTCCAACTTTCGAATATTAACCTTGGCGAAGGGGTTTTGATTGTGGGCTCGTCTCCAAATGGCGGAACCATGGGTGATTTCCATGTGGCTTTTCTCTAGCACTTGACCGAAGCGCATATTCAAAAGGACGCATTCCAGGTTGGCACTCCGCTGCTGTAAAAGAATGAGTAGCACTTTAACAGGAAACTGGTTACAAGGGTTCTGGTCATCTTTGATTGGACTACAACTAGGGTTGGCCAATTTCTTGTTCAATCATGTCGAACAAATGGTTTAAGCCACATCCGTTTAGGGGAAGGGGCTGGTTGTGTTGTACACCTTTTTCTCCAAACTTGTTGCAGAGAGATTAACCAATTTGGGCCTTGCCATGAGAACGCCTGTATAGTCTAGGTCCCCAAGAACTCACCTTTGCAGGTTTTATGTGGGGATGTCTTTTTGAGGGGTTCCACCGTGTTTCGGTCCACATGTTGTTTGGGCAGCGGCACGTGAGGGTATAATTATGGCTTGAAGGGGGCATACATGCGGACTCCCCGCCCCCAATCAACCAGAAAGGTGGCCTGACAGTCCCTCCCCCCCTCCAATACGAAAGGTGGCCTCTCCGCGAAGCCGTGACATGCCCGAGTCCCTTGACACGCAGCTCAGTGGCCCTTCGCGGGGCCCAAGCCGCCCCCCAGGCCGCCCCAAGCCCCCCCCGCCTCCCCCGGACTGCCGGAGGAGCTGCATGGGGCGAGCCATAAGAAGACCAAGCAGAGCCGCAAGAAGCTCGAGGAGTTTCTCAGGCTGGGTCGGGCTTTTGTTGTCAGCCCAGACGGCGGAGCCATTTTTTTAAAGTATTGTTACCACTATTATTATGATTACTGTTGTTGTATTATTATTATCATAATTATTATTGCTATTATTTCTACTACTATTATTGTTGTTATTATTGTTATTGTTGTTGTTATTATTATTATTGTTATTATTATTATTATTATTATTATTATTATTATTATTATTATTATTATCATTATTATTATTATTTCTATTGTTATTATTATTGTTATTATTATTATTGTTATTATTATTATTATTATGATTATTATTATTATTATTATTATGATTAGTACTATTATTATTATGCTTCATTGCTTGCTCATCATTATGATTTTTAATTTTCAGTATATTCTTCTTTCTTTTTCTTTTTTGGGGGGAGGGAGGAGGAGGGGGACCCAAATTGCAACTAAGTACCAAATATGTAAATGTCCTTTTTGAGTTTTGTTCGGCTAAACAAAGGCCCTGTTTGTGCGGGGGTCTAGCACAGGTTGGCGAACAAGGGAAACCGTAGAGAGGTTTTTGGTGGAAGGAACAGTGACTTCCATACCTGTTTCTGTTTTTGTTGTGGTGGGGGGGGGGGAGGGGGTTAGGTGGTCTAGGAGAAACAAGAGCGGCAAATTGTTCAACCGCCAACCGAAGCTGATTGCGTGTGCAGGGTTTACCTTTTGAGCCTCCGCTTTTCAGGGGGTACGATTCTCTGACCGAAAAAGGGGGGGGGCAAGATTGAGCGACTCAGAAAGTGTTCCAGGATTTTGTTTGGAAGATATCTCTTGGACAGCTTGCTTGTTCTCAGCTTGGAACCTTTGCCCATCGAAGGACCTCATAGCCGCACGAGCCGGGTATCAGACCGTGGGCTCTTTCTCTCGATGGCTAGCACAAAAAGGGTGCAACCCTAGGCAAAGGTTACCAAGCTCCTTGTGAGGTGATTCCCCCTAAACCAAAAAATAATTTCAACTGTTTTTTGTTTATGGATATTTTTTTTTCAATGGAGAGAACATCACAAGAATCCCAAGCTCCTCAATGGCATTGGGCCGTTCCGGCCGGGAGAGTTGAAGATGCGTTTGAGCGGGGCTTGGGCCCGTCCCTGTTTTTTCCAGCAAGGGCGAAGGGCGTCAAAGAACCTGGTCGGGCTCTTGTGCATCTTGTTGCCCCAAAACCCACAAAACGCGTGTCCCATGCTCCTTGTGAAACTGGACTCCGTGTGGATGTCCGGGTCCCGGAAAGAGATGTGCCTCCGCGGTCCAAGTCGTGTTCCAGGCTGCATTTTCCTTGGCGAATTCGATCGGCCAAATTAGAATGGTCCGGAGGCCTTGAGTCAAATGGCTCCTGTCGAAAAAACAACAACAAATGGGCAAGGACAATGGTGGGTGTACTTAGTTTAATTGGCTGTGCCTTTACTACCAAAAAAGCAAAGCACAAAGCTGTGGGCTACCTACTCTGGTGACGGGGATGCGCCCACAATACATTGTTGCCGGAAAAGGGTGCCTCGAACCGCAACAGGACAAGCAAGCTTAGGTTTATGTTCACCCGCCTGTTTCAGGTTTTTCCTTCCTTGTATATGTCTATATATATATATGGTCCCCCCTATATATATACATATATGCATATAGGAATATATATATATATATAGGGTACCCACCCCAAAAAGAAGAAAACACATCCCAAGAGAATTTGACGATACTTGCAGTACTTTTGCGCGATTTCCATCCCCTTTTCAGCCACTCCAATTTTGAGCATTATTCTGCGCCTGCATCTGCTGACATTTGACTTTGACTGTATCCACCAAAAAAAAAACGCATAAAAAGCGCTTCAAAGCGCTCTCGGATCAAAGATTCAAGATTCAATATTCCCAAGACTCTAGATCTTGAATCTTGAATCCAGTATGGGGCCCCCTCAAAACGGTTTAAATCGCTTTGAAGCACATTTTGGATCTAAGATTCAACATTCAAGATTCCCAGCCTTGGATATTGAAAAAGCACTATAAATATCAGTGATTTGCATGATGTTTAGCAGGTTTCGTGTAGAACATATTTTGTTCAGGGACGTTAGTTATTTTAGCAGACAGCGTGGCATTCGTCAAGGCATGCGAGGTGTGAGCAGATGTTTTGGTATTGCCACAGGTTCGTAAGTTGACAGACGAAGAGGATTTGCAGATAAGTTGAGATGAGAAATATGGTTGGCGTTTTTGTTTGAGACACTTGCGCCGGTACCCTCACGGAGATGTTTCACGGTCATTTGAGCGCGGAGAACATTAGCGATGAAGACCATGGCATTTTTTTTATTAAAAAAAAAACATCTGGACACACTGAGAAAATCACGTTGTTCATTCGACGGCAGATGTGTTTTTTCTTGGCTGACACTTTTGAAAACTTCAGAGATGTGTGTATGACATATTATGGTCTCAACCCTGTGCAATATGACACGTTACGTAACTTTGCTTTTAATTACACAGTACCAAGCTTTGCTTGTCATGTGAATTGTCCAATTAACTTTGGTTGAAGTAGATTGACTTGTGGCCAGAATATAGCACAGACAATTTGTTCAGAGTGTAGAAGAGCAAATGCTATTTATATGGGTGGCAAAGTCTTAATGAATCATCTGTGAAAGTCTGCCAAAATTGTGAAATGAGCCCACTCATGGTACTATTTGTCTAAAAACTTGACCCGCTTACATAAGCAGCAGGCGCGGGTTTTGGGGAGGGGTTGCATATGTACATATATATATATATATATTATACAGAGAGTCAGATATGCAATGGACAACATTACTGGGGTATCAGGCTTTGTTGGACCAACATTGGTTTGGCAGGTTGCTTTCCTATCATGTTTTGGTGGTAACTTCGCTGTGCTCTGGCATTCACATGCTATTCTGCCAGTTTTGAACACAACACTTCGCCAACTACCCAGCTCTAGTTTCCTCATTGGCGGGATGCCTAAAAACAGCCGTATCATACCTGAGGACAAAACCCACGGAACACGGAACGTGCACCTTTCTTAGAGAACTCTCCTTCATTAGCAGGGAAGTGGTTGGAACTTTGGGTGTGCTTCTAAGCCAGGAGTGTGCGGGAGAGCTATCCGGACAGAGAGGCTCGAGTGGAATCCGGGCTTGGCTAGCCGACCCCTCGGTCAAAACAAGCGATCATTTGACCCCGAATCGGGAATCCAATTTTCTCATGCGGAATGTCAGCTGCATTCGCGAATCGACCGGATTTTGGGGCTTTTAAGCCTTGTTCCCACTTTAGGCCCCAAAAGGTGATAGCATTTATATCCACCGGGCAACTGAGCAATGGATCTTTCGAAAGATTTTATTGAACCGCCAGACGGAGCCATGGGCCCAAGGTCCTTGGTCAATTGGGTGCGGGGGGGGGGGGGTGTGGAGACTGGTTGAACCAAATTTCGCCCAGCCCTGCAAAGCGCAAACTCCCAGAACCTGAATCAAACAAGTTTTTTTGGAGTCCCTTTGGAAGGGTGTCAAAAGGATGAGTCAGCTAGTCAGCGTTGAAACAACCTGATTCTTGTGGCGTTCAAAACAATTGGTCTTTGCAAAAGCTCGAAGATGCGTGAGATTCTCCGATCCCATGCATGCGAACCCTTTACGGTTAAACCGAAACGATGGTGTTTAAACAATACCCTAAGAATCTCTTTTGACCTCTAGGCTGTTCTTGAGGTCCAAAACCTTACCATGATCCAGACACCTGAGGGTCCTTTCTGATGCGGTTGTGTCTTTTTGCGCAGGACAGTAACGGCAGCAGAGACGGCAGCAGAGGCGGCAGCAGAGACCGTATGTCCGTGGCCGGGATTCCCGGGATTCTGTGATTTCGGGCGACCAGAGTACGGATGCCAAAGGGTCGACCCCCGAAAGACCCCATCGCTGTCATCCTGCTTGCCCAATCGGGAGGCGTAGGGTCTTGATGCCAGCCCTGGATGAATGTTGATTGGGCTCATTTGACTTGGGATGTTAGCCACTTGCCAACTGTGGTCATCCAAGTCGGGCAATACGAGACACACCCTAATTAAGCATCATTGGACCCTCTATATTACGCAGTCGTGCAAAGCCTTTTTCTCGTTTTGGTCCATTTTCAGTCGCGACTCCACAAGGTTTGTGGTATTTCTGGGTGCTTTGGGCGAGTGAGTTTGTTGTCCTGCACTCGAGGACAGCCGCGGCAGCCGCGGCAGCCGCGGCAGCGGAAGCCGCAGAAGCCACGGAAGTCGTGGCTCAGAAGAGGCGAGGGGATTCGAATGTTTGTGTTCAAGGTATATATTTGGAACCATCACATATGAGCCACACTCAAAACCCGGGTAGATGAAGGTTAGTACGGGCCAGTGATTTCTGAGCGTCCCCTTGCTACGGGCCATGCAGCTGCAGTGTGTATTCGATTATTCCTTCGGATTCACGGGAGTGGGGCATGTGATTCCAAGCCCAATCTGAAACTCAAATTATTTGCTGCCTGAGGATGCGGGGGGGCCTGTCGATTCCTAAAGCCTGGTGTTAGGGCTCCAATCAGTCCCAGCAGTCAGGTTTGAAATGGCATTTGACGGATTTTGCAACTTTGTTGAGGAACAAGGGCGGTTCCTGCAGCAAACCCATGGCAAACCCGTGGAAACCCACATGTTGCAGTACCTGTTTCTCCAACCAAAAACATTGTGTTTCAGCAAAGCATCGTGTTTAGCAACCCATAGCCAAACCGCGGAAAACCCGCCTAAAAGACACACTCCACTTCTGATTCTGACTCTGGGACAGGTTAACATTACCCCACCCCAGTGCGCAAAACCGATCAATGCCCAAGCTAGACGAGAATTGGTTTGGGAGCCAGTTGTTTTTTCGGCCAAAAGCGTCGAAAAGGAGACCAACTCCAGCAGGGAATCAGAAGCATAGGTGTCCTTTTGGTTGTTTTGGTAGAACAATAGGTGGCCCTGGTTTACCTGGTGGTTTAATCATTTACCAGGGCCATCTATTTCCCCTCAAAGGACACCTATGATCAGAAGCCATCGTGCAACACCTGGAAAAATCACGTGACCTGTTGGGTCCCGTTTGAGTTGAGAGCAGCGTGCCGCGCCTTTGGGAAACCAACAGGAGGTTGGTTTGACCCAGCCCAAAACGAATTTGACCCTTTTGGTTTTCCTTTTTTGGTCCGGGTTTAGTCAAGGTCCCAAAAGGCTAACCTTTTGTTTCTGGGTCCAAGCCAGGCAACTGAGTTTAAGCAATGGTTTAACCAGGGATTCAATTGCCCAACCCTGGTCCCAAACGGGCGTGTCTCAAAGGGGATCCCCAAAAGTAAAGTGGGTTTCCTGTTGGCTTCCTGACGCCCACGGTCCCAACCCAACGTTTTCGTTTCTGCGCGCCTTCCGTCCAGCGGCAACCCCCGGAAGTGGCGCGGCCCGCGCTCAGAGTCCAGGCCCCGGACTCTGACGGCGGGCGATCGAGGAAGGCGCCGGCGTGGGAAGAGGAAGCGGCCCTTCAATGGATGGGTTTGTGGCGGTTGGGTTTGTGGTTTGGATTGGTGATTGGGTTTGAAGCCCTATGAACTGGTGCCTCTTTTAAGCCCATGCTAGGGTTGGCAAGGGCCTGTGCCCCGTTTGGTAACAAAAGGGACTGGCTGGCTATTGGTTGGACGGGTTGCAAATGAGATTTGGAATTAGCTATCTAATTTGCCACAAAGCAACGGATCGCAACTGGATGGCAACCGGATCGCAAATGGATCGCAAACGGTTGAGGTTTCCATGTACCAGGCTGGTTGGGTCGTGCTTTTGAGGGCAATTTGACTGGCGGTTTGGATTGGTGGCTTCGGGGTTTGAATCCCACTTTCTTTTGGAGCCAAATTGGGAAGTACCTCAACGTCCAATTCGGGGTCAGAGTGACTTTTGCGCTGGTTTCAAAAGCAAACCAAAAGGACACCACCCATGGGAGTTGTGGGTGTTGTTCAGATTCCTTTGAGACCCGCAGTCCTGGCTATTGCTCCGAGAACGGAATAGGTTGACCGTGGCAAAGGACTTGTGACGAGCATGCCTGGGATTCCTTTGCGTGTGACACCAAGAGCAACCTGATTATGCATCGATCATATCCAGTCACTGCTTCAGGACCCATATGTGCCTTGTGCAGAATGGCCCACTAGGAAATAATCAGGGCATGAATGCATTCCTTCCTTCGCGCGGACCTATGGAGGGTTCTTCTTGTTGGTTACCTCCAACAGGGACGTCAATGCGTTCCGAAGTGCTAGCATCAATTCATCACAATCCAAGAGTGTTCTTGGGGGGTGGCATGCGCGCAGCCGGCTACGTGGCCATGAGCTATGTGAAGGGTGATGAAGACTACCTCATCGGCGGGTACGTGACGCGCCGTCATTTTACGCCAGCCACGTGATTTTTGCCGGGCTTCAAGAATCATTGAAAGAAGCAACCCTCGGGCAAGACTTATCCAAAGACACTGCCCTGGGTTTGCAGAGGCGCAAGTCGCCGAGGACAGCGAGCCCATGGATGCAGACTCGGCTGAACGCTCGCGCAAGAGAGGCCGCCCAAGTGCGCCTATTGCCACTGCGGCCCAGCAGACGATGAGCTCACGGTCTCATCGGGTGATAGCCCCCAGAAACGTGGGCATCCCTTCTCTTTGGGGTGAAGGAATGTGGTGTGCTCGTCAAGATCAAGCTTCCAACGTGATGTGTTGCTTTTGCTTGCCTACAATTACCACTAATATGGACTAGTTGGGGTAGATAAAACCTTATGAATACTCGGAAACGCCACCTACCAACTGCAGCGATTTGTCCATGCAGTACGGCCTTTCAGGGTCAGCCAGTCAATTCAGACGCGCCTCAATCTGAGCCAAGGCTGTCTTGAGCGACGGACTTTTGGTGCTACCAACATGGTTGTAATGGTTACGCAAGGGTTACTATTTTATGCCTGGTAAAACAGATAGAACAGTAGCACCACTTAAAATGGCCAACTTTTGGAAATGGCTGTTGGCGCTCACTGCCAGGTCTCGATTGCGCCATCCTTTTACCAGAAGGCCAATGAACCGCTCGCGAGGGACTGGCGGTTTTTGTTCGCTTGGTTCGAGTCGTGGAGTTCTGTCAAAATAGGGACGCGGACCCTCACAATGTCTTCGGTTTTCCGTTTGGCTCCCTTAAGACTCTTCAAGGTAGCACGTCTTTGAGGCTAGATTAATTCAGACGCATATCCTACAAGGGGAAGTTACCGCACACAAATTGGACGTCTTTGTTTTGACTTTTGGGCGACGGCGTCCGCTTGCGACTCCAGTTGACAAAGGCTCTTGGTTTTCACCACCCGAAAAGAGCATCCTCAAGGCTTTGGGATACACTGGCCAGGCAAACGTTGCGCTTCTTAAAGGTCAACACAACGTGTTGCAACGAGGTATGTGCGGCGATTTTGGATCCTGGGAAGCCTTTTATTAAAAACAAATCAAAGGGGTGTGATATTTGACCTTCCCACGGTTTTTCATAAGAATAAGACGCATTCCTTCACTCAAGTATTGTTTAATGGGGAAGACTGTCTAGAATGGTTGGCGGACATTTATGCCTGTTCGGTGATGTCCACGGCGTTGGCAAGAGCACTTTAGACTCATATCCAAATCAAGATTCCAGTGTCCCGTCTTTGATACGATCCTCTGTTATCTGGTTTGGGGAGACACGCTCCTGCGATCCTGTGAGACACCATAGACACCCAAGAGCTGCGCCTCGCAGAAGTCCGGCAATTCCGACAAAAGGCCAAGAGGTTTTTATCGTGGAGCCTGTGAATGGGGGTGCAATCTCAAAAGGCATCTTGGCATGCAAGGTGCAGAGGGAGTACATGAGTACTTGCAACACATCCATACCTGGGTTTGGTTTAAAGGGACGCGGAAAGCAAACCACTGTATTTTTTGTTTGGGTCTGAATCCAAACAAATTGGTAAATGTTCACCAAACCCAAAGAAGCGGCTCATTGGCGCATCGATTCGGAGGCGATCGATGACGATGACCTCAGCGACACCTATGCCGTGTGGCAGCTCAGATTGGGTGCGTTTTTAGGCGCAAGAGGCTCCCAAATCCCCCCCCCCCCGCCTAGCTAGGGGGTGAGTGAGTTCCATTTCCAGTCGCTTCAAACCTCGTTCTTGAACCCGCCCTTTTCTCGGGCCTTGGGTTTTCTGGAAGAAGATCTGCAGAGACGGCGGAAGTTACCACCAGAGCCCCCAAGCTTACATGACAAACGGGTCTCATTGCTTGAATCCATTTACTTGAACATATTTTAGGGTGTCTGTACGGATGCAGTGGACCATCATTTTCAGTGTCAAAGTCAGAGTTCCGAGTTGGTCTGGGCTTCTCATTCTATTTCAGTCTTTTGACATTTCGGCCGAAACCCTGGGTGTTTGTTTCGGTGAACTGTACCTGGAACTCACCGCCTGGGTTCCTGGACTTTCATCTTTTTGGGTTTGGACCATTTGGGTAAATAAGCAGTTTGGTTAACGTTTTTGGCCAATCCACTCAGGAAGTGAAAAAAAGGGCGCCAACGATTTGGACATCTGATTTTGAGACTGACGTGGTCAGTCCCGTGGGTCACCCTCGCCGAACTGGTGTGCGGTTCGGGCATGCACCTAAGCGTTCCTTACGTGCTTTCAGTTGCCACAAGAGTAGGTAATATAGAGGCCCAATAAATTTGAGTTGGCTGTGCTTGAAAAGCCATGTTCCATGATTGGAATACTAGCAGTCCTTGAGCCCATAGCCAACGTTTTGTCTTGGAGGTTTTATCTTATGATTTCGTTTGACTTACTAGATGGGTACCGGTTTGGAAGCCTTGTGAAGTAGGGGCAGGGCGTGTGCTTGGACAAGAAAGGGACCCAATCCAATACCTGGCCTGGTTTTTGGCTGTACGAAATGCACATGAGCAGGAGGGATGATTCATTTTTTCACCCAACAAAAAAGGGAGCAAAGGGGAGGTGTGCTCCCTACTATGCCTGATAGGGTTGACCAAGAGTCGTGCAGTCTCCAGTACTCCGGATCCAGTCGACTCCAGATGGGAGAAATTTCCAGATGTCAACTGGGTGGTTTGGGAGGGGCACAGGACCCGAATCTCTAGGGTACCTTCCCCATTCTTTCCAGGGATCCTTCTTTCTAGAACACCTCCGGAAACCCAGAGAAAACGGCTGGTTTTTGAAAAGAAAGTTGGTTGGAAATAGTGGGGAAGCAACCCCATGAACACCATATTGACTGACCGCTGAGATTTGAGTGTCGATCTGTTGGTGAGCATCCAACTTGAAGCAGTAGGCACATGATAACCCACTGGAAATTGGAGGTTCATTGCCTTGGACCCTCAAAATGGGTGTTTGGCTTTCCGCAACTATGCTGGAGAACACGTTGGTATGTATCCGTTTTCGAAGGTGCTTCCATGGGATACTTTTAAAGGAATTCCAAGGGAGACCACTCATTTGCGGGTATGACCGGTGCTTGTTTGTACACCCCAAAATGCTCGGTTTCTCCAAATAGGTGCGGCAGGAACTGCACTTTCGGTTGTTTAGAGGTTGGCCACTTTGCCCTTTCGGTTTCGAGTATGATTCAGCATATCGCAGTTCCGTTTAGTTTTGATTCGGGTTGCCCACTAGGGAAAGGGCTATCAATCATGGGCCATATGGCCACGTTAGAGATCGGTTTCTGTACTCGAGGTGAGATGGATAGTCATGCCCGGAAGTTCACACCATCGTAGAGGTGCCCACTGGGCAAAAGCCACCCCAGATGCACCAGAGCCTGAAGGGTTCTGATGACCACGTCACCAGATTTGAAGTTGTGACCATGGGCCTCTAGGCCAATCTATCGCAAGGTCACAGAGGTTTGATTTGATGTCACGATCTCAGCGCCCATGTTTGGCTCATGTACTGACCAGAAGCGAAGCTACTGAATGCTTTGACCATGGCCATCGCGAGGTGCCTCTCAAACTATGGGACCCTTCCCAGAATGCTAGGCTTCCCTTTGGCTTCCCTTGGTTTCCCAGTGTGGTTTCCCGGTGGTTTCCGTTTGATTTCCGTTCGGTGTCCGTTTGAAACATCAGCCCCAAGAAAGTGGGGCCTCCAACGAAAAGCAGAGCCCGGAGGCCCCGGCTCCAGACCAGCCCGAGGCAGGGGTCGGGCCTCTAAGGCAGGGGCCAGGAGGGCGTTTGCCTTGAAGACATCAAGTTGTGGATTCGGACCCCCAAAAATGGGCGGGGGGGGGGGACCCTCAACAAAAAGACACACGAACATGGGCTTCATCCAGTCTTTACATGTGGAGGGACTGCTCTTCCGGCGGGCAAAAGCCTGCGAAAGAAATGGAGTGACTAGTCGGGGAAAGACAAGTGGAATGCACGATCAACCTACTTAGTTTCCCTTTCGGTTTCTGACTGCAGACCGCGGGGGGGAGGGGGGGTAGCCGCAATAGCGACACGCTTCAGTGTCCTCGACCCACTATATCTGCATAGTTTATGGCGAGCTCACCTAGGAGTAAAACGAGCTCACCATGATAAAGATCGCTTACTTCCTGGCTTTGGACTTATTGTAAAAATTGCAGATTGTCTACTATGTCTACTATGTCTACCAAGAATAATCAGGGGCATGGGATACATGGGATACAAACCACTGCATTGCAACTATTTAAAGGGTATATACCCCCAGAAGGAAGCCATCTTACGGAGCCAGAATGGGGCTGAATGCTTGTTAGAGGGGGTCCTTGTTTCAGATTTCTTGCAGGTTCCCATGCCCTTAGACTCTGAAGAGGGATTCTTGTCCAGCAAGGGACTAGCAAAGAACCAAGGGTTTGAGACTCGCTTTGCATGTTGCAGATCGGGTTCTCGCTTCCCAATTTTTACGGGCGTCGCCCTTGAAAATATCCTCGTGTGACTTGCTCCAAGCAATTCTGACCTTTCTGTTTCAAACGGAGGGAGCTTCGCTTTTCGGAGTGGGGGAGCTTCTAAGCCGGTTTCTCGCCTTTAGTTTTGCCATACCACGGAGTCACCATTTCGGCGGGCGACGGCGCAAATTTTCAATTGCGGCCATGTGCACGGACTCACCGTGGAGACCCAAGAAGTTCACGGGGCATGATATTTGTTTGCCCGTGTTGTTTTTCTTTTTTTTTTTGGGGGGGGGTTCATGGTTCATCTTCACGAGAGTTCTTTACTGGACTTTCGGCCATGTCTGAGCCTGTGCCATGTTTTGAGGGGATGATGTCTTTGGGATGCGGCAGACGGGAGTCCCTCAGCTCTCCTCATGTTTTTTCCGTCATGGGTGGCAGTGACGAAAAGAGGAACCCAGCCATCAATTCCAGCCAGGTGAAAAACGGATGGCACCTTTTCCCTGGTAGATGTGGCTGTAAGTGATGCGGAAGATGAAGTACACGCATGGTGAGATGGTGCAAACTGTACTCTGAAGCGGGTCCAGAGCCCTGCTGAGTTCGGTCATTTAGTTTCCCGATATACAGATGGGAGGGAGAGGGCAGAGGGACCAGAGGGCAGAGGAGCTCCAGATGTCAACAACCAGGGGACTCATTCACAGTTGGATTAGAGTAGATGGCACAATGCCCCCATTTCGGTTTTTTCTTATCCACATAAAGGGTATTGTGTCATCTAGTTTCAGCTTGGTGCAATCTCCTACGTCCTCTTGGGGACATATTTGTAACTGAGACCGGTGAATGGAGACAGAATCTGCAGATTCTTTGAGTCTGTGCCAGGATTCCGACGGCGAATACGAGCCCCCTTCCAGAAAGGCGCGGCAGATACCCGCAGTGGAATCACCTCGCACCTCGCCCGAGAAAGAAAAAAAGCGAACATTTGTCACGGGACCTTTGAAGGGGTAAGAAGCGAATTCAGACAGCTTTGTAGCATCCGCATTGTCTCAAAGCAGGGGATCCCCCAAAAGCATGGTTTCTCCCCCTCGCTTTCCTTTTAAACCAACCTCAAAAAGGCCCATTAGAAAAGACACACCCACAGTTGCGTGTGGGTTCTAACAAATGGGTTCATGTGCTTTAATCATCCGATTTGACAGTTCTTGGTCCTTTGAAAGTTGGGGTGATCGATTGTTTTGAATTGGGGGCTATACGTTTGTTCAGTGCATAGCTGAATTTTGCCCAGAGCTGTTTGTTTCTCGTGGGGCATACAGCATACCCTCTCCACAGGATTCTCCATCTTAGGTTGAAAAGGCCTCCTGACTGAGGAATTTGGGGCTGCTTCTCAAAATAGGGGATCCGCTATTTTGAGAATGCCATGTACATCAACCCCGCATAGTTTTGTTCAATGGAATATTTTTCACCGGGTCATCCAACGTGACATATGGATCTATGTGGACCAGTCGGATTTCACTGCCCAGGCTGGCATGACCATTGGTCAGGCAATTATAATTGCCTTGACTGCGGGCAGCCTCTCCAACTTCATTCAGCGCGGATTTGTATATGTTTCTACAGCTAGGGCTCGTCGCCCGATTCGCTGAAGACAACGCGTACGTACTCCTGGTCATACAGTTCGCGACTTCCTAGTGTGCATGGCTTAGTCTGGATTCTGTCGTGAAGACATTCTCCTTGGCATGAATTGGACAAGTCCTCTGAAGCACAAAGGGGCTGGACAAATGCTTTCGACAGGGGCAGGGTTCCCTCCGAAAACCATGGAGCCAAAAGCTCACTTCGTATTCGACCCCAAGGAAAGACAACCACACCCATGTCGACCCCGGATTTAAGTAGAAGTCCCCCCCAACACAAGCGCGGAGTGCCCTTCTTGACAGGGACAACCCTTTTTTGTGAATACGGGGTCAATATTCGGAAGTGCCGGTTTGTTGTTTAGCCCAGATCCGGCTGCCCTTATACTAGATACCCTTCTCCATGTTCTATTGCGTTTTACAGGTGGTTCCCTTGGTTACCTACAAAATCAGGGGAATGGAGTCACTGTATGGGTTTTGAAGTTTCAACCCCGGCCCAGGTACAAAGGGGTTCCGCGTTCGATCTGATGCATGTAAAAGTCGGTAGGGAAGGACAAGGTTTTGGGTTCAACAGGAAGACTAGCCACTTGAACGCCTTTTTGCTGGATCTCCAACGTGCCTTTTGAAAAATGTGTACTAGTTTCCCACTCATCTGCAAGTAGTCTATAAGCTTTTCGCGGGCAAAACTGCTGCTGCGCAGCCACAGCTTCCCCTCGGCTCGCGCTCGCGCGACCAAATTTCCACTGGCTTGACCCGAATCCACAGAGGTGTGGCCAAAAGCGCACTCCGAGTTGTTGCCTCCAGGGAATGTTCGATGGGATTTTTGGAGATATGTTATATACCACATTTCAAGGGGTATATGGGGGTTGATCAAAAGGTCCGTGATACATGGGGTGACCATTCGGGCAACCACCAAAAAAGATGGCGACTTCCACCACTAAATGGACAAGTTACCCATGGTCATTTTGGGGCCGAACGGAATATTGTTGGGCCCCCATACTGCCTTTGAAGCTTATGGGTCTCCCAGCGTGGAAGAGCTCCGCCCACTTTTGGCATATGGGGGTGTCGTTTTTGGAGCTGTGGATAGAGAAAAACCACGATTTTGGACGTCCCTAAAAAGAGAGGGACAGGACCATATCGGGATCCCCAAGATGGTTCCCTTGCCAATCTTCAAAGGTTTCACCTTGAAAACCAACACACACACACACACCCACGCGCACACCCCCCACCTACCCGGAATTTCCACCCCGTTTTTCACTTGGGCGCTTGGGTCGAACCAGGGTCCAAAGGAACACCGGGCCAGGCCTCCCTGGGGCCCTCTCTGTACCAGGAGGCACTCAGGGGTGGTGTCGGCGGATTTTTTTTTCTTCTGTGCCCTGACTCACCTTGGGGAAACCAAAACGAGCCGCCCTCAGTGTGTTTCCTTTTGGGGGGAGTTGCAAACATTATGAATGATCATGGGGTGTGGCAGTGAGAAAATGAGACACACCTTTTGGGAACACCAACATCGGACTGAGTCTCCCCACAAGGGGTGATACGTTTAGTTCTGACAGGGTGCAACGCACTTGGGCTTTTCAGAGTGGACCGCCCAACGACTGCTAAAACCCCATCTAAACCCCAAGCGCTGTCCAAGCAGCTGTTGGGCAGGGTTCCTTCAAGGATACACTTTGGAGGAATTGAAAACCACCTCCACCAGCTGTTTCAAAGGGTTTTACATGTACCATGTGGCTTGGCTTTAAGGTTGATGTTTCCCTTTCACGCTTTACAGTTTAACAATTCTACACTTCTGTGGGCCCTAACAGACGCCAGCTCCCAATTGCGATTCTCCAGCTTTATCAATTTTGATCTTCGCTAAAATATCGAAGGGGCACGATGGCCAGCCTCGGGAACTCATAGCACTTGAGTCGCGCTCGAGCAAGACGTGGAACGCACTGTCTGCAGGGCTCGCCGCGTGCAACGGCTCAAACAGCACGCACGATTCTGTGCCCAGCTCGGAGCAAGTGGAGTCACAACCTCCGAGTGTGCCTGGGGCACAGTGCCTGGGGTTTGCAAATGCTATTTTGGGCCGGATGCTTGGAACTTGCCGACTGGCCCAAAGCCGACCTGTTGACCTTGTGGTTTCCCTGGTCCATATGTAGTCAAGGCTCCAAGAGGTGAATCTTTCTCCATTTCCAGGTCCTCTGTGTTTTTGTTTTGGCAGGTTGCGGTTGGCAGAGCGCACAGATGGCAAATCCTTTGAGCGTCGCAGATGCGCTCTGTATCCCATTCGAGGGGGGTCAACGTGCAGGCGGCCCTGGCACTTTCACATGGTCAAGGATGACCCTGCTTATGTTCATGTGGACCTTCTGCCGTTTTAGTATCTGGTCACTCACGTAGTGCGGCCTACGGGAAACGCCAACTAGACTTCTCATCAGAAAGGTTGGTTTAGTGGGGTTTCGGTTGCAAGTGAGCAGGTGCCCAATAGGTTGGGTTGTGCGAGTTTCGCCCTAAGAATTGTCATCAGCTTGCTGGTGCGATGGGTATGGAATGACCTTCCTTCCAGGTGTTGGGAATGAACCGGAAGGGGATTCCCTACAAAACCACCAGTTGGATGGGTTTTCTTAGGGCTCATTCTATTTCTCATTCCCTGAGCATCAGCAAGTCAGATCAAAAGAGATGTTGGATGTTTCTTGGCGATACAGTTGCTTCCAGGATTTTTCCACGTCCGATCCCTCCCTCTGAGCGCCGACATCGACCCTCTCTGATACTAGCTCTGGGTTAGCGGGGCTCCCCGAAACGCAAAGCATCCTGGTGGATTTCCGAAAGGGGCCATGTTGGGTTTAAGCCTACTCTGGGGCAAAGCCCTGAGAAAGTGCTCCTGAGTCGACTCATGGAACCCATTTACCTCACCCACAAAAGGGGTACCTTCGCGAGGCACTGGAGCCCGAGGACTACCAGACCTCCGAAGCAGGGAAGCTCTGAAATCCAATTCCCTCGGGTGTGGGGAAGTGATCCGGACTCCCACCGAAGAAGGGACACCCTATGAATCAAGGGGGTTATTGATCCGGGGTCAAAACCACGTGGCAGGCGCTTGCCATTTGCCAACCAAGGCCTACCTCAAGATTTGTCGTGGACTTTTTTGGTTGCCAACTATGGTAACTGGAAGCACTGGCTCGGGCTGTTCTTATCCAAGGCTGATAGGGAGTTCCATTTATAGTTCCATTTTCCCTTGTGTGGGACAGACTGGATTTGCAGGGGGATATTGCAGCCTGTGCAGATGTGTGTGTGTGTGTGTGCGCTCCTCCAGCAGGAACTGTGTAGGAACCGCTTGGATCCATACTTAGCCCTTAGGTTGTTGGAAGCCAGGACGGCCCACACGTGACACAGCCAAGAAAGCCCTTTCGCTGTGGTCATAGCCCCCATAGGAAGCTAGACAACCACGATTCATATGTCCTATCGTGAAAGTTACACCCAAAAAAGGGGGCCCAGTTTTGACCGTGACTCGGGTTGAACCACCATGGCCAGATGTTCCGAGTTTTGACCATACACCTGGGTCTGATATGGGTCCAAAGTTTCCATTGCCCCAAATTGCCTTCCCGGGGTCTCAAAGGCGAGTATGGCATTTGATAGATTGGAGCACGACATACCAGGTCCATTGATTTGGGCTAGCCGGCTGGCATTTCCGGGTTAGCCAAGACCGCAGGTCTGCGCGGACACGGAAGAGCACAGACCGCAGGCGAACCAGTGGGGCAGTGACAAAATGACCTGGCCCCGTTTAAAAGACGAAAGACAGCTGTTTGAACGCAGGTGGGTTAAACATGTGTAAACAAGGAGTTCATCCATTCGCTTAAGAGTATGTTATATTTTCACTTGTTGGTTTTAAAGGGAATCTATCACTACCGGAAACATTTGTATTCCTTTCCGTGGGCTTAAGCAAATGGAAGAGTTGATCGATCCCTGGAAGGTCTAAACGACCCTTTGCTCCAGGAGGGAGCAACCTAGTATTTGGCTCATCAACATGTCCTGGGTGTTAAGTAAGAGGGACTCTGGGCCAAAGCAGCTCGGTTTCAGGAAATGCGAGCATTTCTCGTCTCTGCACACTTTTCACAGCGACGCGCGATCCAACCGGAGCCCTTGAACATGCCTGTTTTGCTTGGAGATGTTTGAAAGGGACAGATACTGAATAGTTTATAAAGACCACCCCCAGCGAGAGAAGGCCGGAAGTCAGTTGGTTGGGGGGTGGGTTCCCTCTTTCAGGCGCTGTCATAGGGCCTAAATCATTAAAATATGATTGTGGGGTACTCTGAACACTTTTGGAGGGTACCCCTTTTTCGGTGGTTTAGAGGGACGCCCATAGGAGCCATTTTTTGGGCTCCCCTAAAAAAGACCGACCCCCATCTCGCCTTGGTTCGAGTAAGCCATCGGGGAGCTTCAGGCTGCAGGGACCCCAGGGAGGTTTCGCGGAACAGGCAGAGACGTGTCTCCAGGTTCGAAGATGTGGCGTTGACAAGAGCCCCTGAAACGGGGTCCGCTTTCTCGTTGGTTTCCAGCTCAACGAACCCTGAACGTTGTAACTCCCCAAATGTGGCCCATTTGTCAGAACCCATGTGAGTTTTGGCAGTTGCTCGTCAGTTCGGGAGGGACGAGGGTCCAGGTACCCCTTTTTTGCGGGCCAAGATACGGTTCCCTGCATTTTCGCTGTTGGACTCCTGGCTCCAAAATGACCATGGTCACTTTTCCCATTTTGGGGGTGAAAGTCATCTTTGCGTGTGGTTTCCCGAATGGTCACCCCACGTAAAGGACCTTTTGATCAGCCCCCAAACGACCTCTTGGGGGAACAAGTGTGCAACCACTTTTCTTGTCCTTCGGCGTTTCGTCTTCGTGTTTGGCGGAGGCCAAGGTGCAGGAAGACGAGGGGGCGCCAACCTCAGTCGAGGGGTGTTTGTGCACATGGGCGTGTGTTTTCTGGAAGGATGCGCTTTTCCTTTGATTTCAAGGGAAACCAACGGTAAGCAATATTTTTCAGGGTTTCCTCCTATTTTGACACATGCCCGAATGGGTTGACAGAGATGGCTATCCACCTGGTCCTGGACCGCATGACGAATTCCGGCAACCATTGTAACTGGGGTCTCCTAAACTATTTCAGTTTTGTGCGGCAGACTGAATATGAAACCTAATCTGAACGTATTTCTGTATCCCAAATGTGGCCCAGGGTAACTCACTTCCTGAGTTCTTGGACTTCAAACTTTTTGGGAAGACCACGTTAGTCGTGAACAAACAGTTTGGATTTGTTTGACCACTCAGGAAGTGACGTAAGCATTCCCCATTAGCACCATGACCAATCTGCCACGGCCGGGCTCAAGAATCTGGCTTGCGCCAAGACCAGGCTCACCTACGGAGTTTTGAAACCGGCACCCTTTCAGGCGTGCTCTTCTTCATATCCTCTTTTTCGGTTTTTCGAAAAAAGACAGGTAAACAACACATAAAGCAGGTCGGGGTCAAGGGTCAAAAGACTTGCACCTAAACTGTGTGGAGCGCGTGCGAGACTCGGGCGCAGTGCCAAGGGAATGAAGTATACCAGCACTAGGGGAATAATTCGTATATGGAGATGGTGCACAATGGGCTAATTTTTCAGCAGGGTGTGGAAAAGAAACATAGAATGTAGACACCGCTTCTCTGCGAGGATTCTGGCTCAGAGCCTTCCAGAAAGGCACGTTGCCGCTGTGGGGGGGGGGGTGGAGTGGCCAAGCCGTTTCGTTGTTTTTCTCTGTCATCCCCCAAACGGTTGGGGGGTGTCCATGAAGTTCATGAGCACCGGAGCAAGAAACACTTTTGGGTCGAGCGCCTTGGGACAGCACGCCTTGAAAGCGCTTCCAAGGCGGGACTTAGCATGTCTTGTTGGTCCAGACTAGAAATCAGGCCAAGGAGTCTCGCCCTGGGGAGGGGCAATCATAGTTTTGGTTGGTAGGAACCCCCTTTCGGTTGGCGCGCGTGAAGAGAAAAGACAGAGAATGCGAATGGCGAATCACTGGGTTTCTCCAGCAGACTTCGGCCTATTCCTGGGCGCGAACGATGGGAAAAACGTTAGGCAGCGCAAGAGCAAGTTTCGCTGGGTTTCTGGGAGCTGAGGAGGAGGGTACATCCCCATAACAGTAAACATATCTCACCTCCACACTTATAAACTGTAGATAACTTATCTGGAAAAGGGCAAGCCAGTTCCATGTTTGAGGCCCCTTGCGAGACTTTAGCTCACGACTCGATTCCCATCCCTGCATGGATCGAATACCGCTGCTTTGCATCTACCCTGGATACCCCGAATGAGTGTTTCTCCAAGGAGTGGTTATCAAAATAGAGGACCCCTTTTTGGCGTTTTGGCGGGGGAATCGAAAGAAAGCCAATCATTGTGGGCCGATATTTTGAGAGCCCCAAAAACGAAGCCTGTCCATCGCACTCGCCAAATCCGACGGCTTCGCCAGGCCTCGCTGGGGCCCTCCCTGTACCAAGAGGCCGGCGTTTCCGACACCTTGAGGGCTTGTGAGGATTGTGGGTGCGAAGTAGCAGGGCAACCAAGAGGCTACAAGTATTTCTTGCTGGTGCTCAGCAGCGGATGTGGGAATGTACCGCTGCGGGATTCCCTAACAACCATCACCATAGTTTTTTTTTTTCTCCTTCTTTTTTTTTCCGGTCATTTTCCATTTGTCATTCCCTGCATCTCTCGCAGCAGCAAGACTCTGTTGAACACCCGGCTTCGTTGGGCCCATGGGATCAGAGGATGAGCAGCCCACCGAGTCCAGGCGCTGCAGCCTGAGGACGAGCTCTCCGTGCATTCCCACGCCCGGCGCTTGAATGCCCTCCAACCGAAGCCCCGAAGCCCCGGGTAGCTTGGGTCTGCGCTTTGGTTGGAGCTTGAACCTTTATTTATAATTCCCTACAAGTTACGAAGTTTGAAAAGCAGTTGGACTTCAACGTGTTTGAAAATTCCCTGCTGTCGAATCATGTTTTTTGTTTGGGTTTGTTTTGGTTACTTTGTTAACTTGAGTTGCTCTGATCCTGCTCATGTTCAGTGTTGAACGAGAGCAAAGTTGTTTGTTTTTGCGTGCTTTGGGGTGGTTGTTTTTTACTTGGGTGTTTGAGCTCGCTCCCAAATTGGTAGCGGAGCAGGGTGTTTGGGGTTCTTAGGCTGCCCTGCTTGAGCCCCGATGCCCGCTGCCAGCGCTAGCGATGGGACGACGGTTCCTAGGACCCCTGGGTGTAGACGGACCTCTGGGGCGGCGCGTGCCACCGAAGGTCAGTGTGCGGCTGGCGAACACAGCCTGAAAAGCCGCAGCCTGCTCCTGGCTGACATGGCATAGATTCACTACATTTCCCGGCAACCATGGCTTGTATTGGCCTGTGTGTTCGCACGTGTGCGTGGCAGGCGGCCGGGCCAGCCGGACTACGACGGTGGTTGTGCTTGTAAGGGTGTGCTTGTGTGGGTTGCCGGGTGCGTGCGAAGGTGTGTGTGTGTGTGTGCTCTTGCTTTTGCTTGTGCTTGTGCTTGTGCTTGTGTTTGTGTTTTGTGTTTGGTGTTTGGTGTTTGGTGCTTCGTGTTTGGGGGTGTGTTCGTGTTTGTGTTTGTGTTTGGTTGTGTTGTGTTTGTGTTTGTGTTTGTGTTTGTGCTTGTGCTGGTGCTTGGCTTGTGCTTGTGTTGGTGTTTGGTATTTGGTGTTTGTGTTTGTGTTTGGGTTTGTGTTTGTGTTTGGGTTTGTGTTTGTTTTTGTGTTTTGTGTTTGGTGTTTGGTGTTTGTTGTTTGGTGCTTCGTATTTGGGTTTGTGTTTGTGCTTGTGTTGTGTTTGTGTTTGTGTTTGTGGTTGTGTTTGTGTTTGTGTTTGTGGGCGTGAGTGCGCGTGCACGTGCGCGTGCGCGTGCGCGTGCTTGCTCGCGCGCTTGCGTGCATGCATGCGTGGGTGCATGCGTGCGTGCGTGCGTGCGTCCGTGCGTGCGTCCGTGCGTCCGTGCGTCCGTGCGTCCGTGCGTCCGTGAGTCCGTGCGTCCGTGCGTCCGTGCGTCCGTGCGTCCGTGCGTCCGTGCGTCCGTGTGCGTCCGTTCCGTGCGTCCGTGCGTCCGTGCGTGCGTGCGTGCGTGCGTGTGCGTGCGTGCGTGCGTGCGTGCGTGCGTGCGTGCGTGTGTGTGTGTGTGTGTGTGTGTGTGTGTGTGTGTGTGTGTGTGTGTGTGTGTGTGTGTGTGTGTGTGTTTGCGCTCGCAAGGGCTGGGGACAGCGTGAGAAGCGAAAGTCCCGAAGTTGATCAACTGAGCTTGCTGTTGTGTTTGCTTGATCAACATGCCCTGGTAGCTGACGGTGGCTGTGCGCAGATCCAGCCCGCGGTGTAGCACTTGCTTGCTTTTGCGTGCTTTGAAATCGCCTCCTAGTTAGGGTTTTGCTCTTTTTGGGGTGGCTGCTTTTTACTTCGGGGTGTTTGAGCTCGCTTCCATAAATCCGCTCAGGAAGCGAGTGCACGCGTGGGGAATACGTGTTGTTGTTCTTACCAAACAGCAAGCGTTAGGCCGGCCGGGAAGTACAGAGGAGCATGTTGGGGGGTCCCCGGCTGGACAACCAAGACAAAGAACGGTTTGTTGGGAACCCGCCCAGGCCCTGGTTTAGATTCCAAATTAACAATGCAGGGAATGAACACCTTCAATTTGCCAGGAGCTAACTTCATTTTTCAGGTTCTTTCCCAATTCTTGTCTGGCTTGATCGAATTGGGCTTTTCATTTTTTGAAACATGACCCATGCCACGCAAAAAAAGGCAAGGCGGTGCTCAAAAATTGTAAGGGGTCTAGCATCCACCAACAAAACAAACACGTAGAGTTAGCATATATTTTGCCACTTTGCTGCTGACTTAACAGAAAATAGAACACAGGCCTACCTTCTTAACCTGGTGCCTTTTGGTTTGCCTCCATGTTCCCTTTTCAACCAGCACAACGCCCCTGCCCAAAGGGTCCCACAGAATGGTTGGAGGTTTGTCCCACGGGGGCACAATGAAGAAACAGAAGGCCACAAAAGGCATCAGCATGTTTTCGGTTTGTTTGCTTGCTTGACTGTGTGTTTTCCTTTCTGTTTTGCTGTTGTTGTTTTTTTAGGGTGTGTGCCTGTGAGTCGCCTTCCTGATATTTGGATATATGACATGACTCACCCTACCAGTTTTTCGCCGCTGAGGCCTCGGTTGGCCATTGCGAGTGATGGCGCTTTCGCGCTGTCGGCCACTGGTAGCTTCCAGGCCTCCGGTTCCTTAGGTTTTTAGTTGCCAATGGCTGGGTTTAGTGGTTACCTGTGAACCTGGGAGTTTTCGGTTTCCGTTTTGGAGGAGACCCCAGGTCACCAGGCGCCTTTTTTTCCCTCTCGGCTTCTAATTTGGTTTCCCCTTACCAGCTTTTTTTTGGTAACTGGAAGCACTGGGTGCTTGTTTTGGGGTCCACGATTTGGGGGTCCGTGATTTGCCCAGGCTCCACGTTCAACTTTGGACAAGATACTACAGATCATAGATCTGATTTCTGCTTACCGGCAACTAGAAGCTCGACGAGGTCTACCCCTTTGTGCTCCTTCTTCCGAGTCCAGTACGGTTGCCAGAAACCATTCGGTGCTCAGAGGGCACTTTTGTGACTTGTTTTCTCGGTTCCGGAACCGCTTGGGATGGCTTTGTATCGGGGAAGGGGACACCAAACCGAGAAGGTCAAGCGGACTTTGCAGGAAACCAGCGGGGAAGGAGGGTGTGGGGGTTAAACATCAATTGCCTTCTAAGCTCGGCCTCACCTTTGGGGCACTTGCGATTTCACCCCAGCTGAAGGGTCACTAGGGGATCATCCAATGGTAAAAAGCAACAATTGGGTGCCTCTTTTTAGCGGTGGCCGTTCTCCTTTGGTTTCACAATCAGACACACCCAACTTTCTGAGGACAGAGTTGCACCCTGTTTTGGCTGGATTCAAAATTGGAAACCTGAATTCCAGAACGCCATTTCCATTTGCTTTTAAGCCGAACATCCAAAGAACAACCCTTTGGGGGCTAAAGGAAGCCCCATGTATAGCTTCGAGCGCTTGCAGCCAGGGATCCCTGACCCAAGTCAAGGCCCTCTGGCATGGATCGGACTTGGTGGCCAGGGATGGCAGTATGATTTTTCTAGCGAGCGGATCGACCCGGGCGCTTGTGGCCCCTATTTCTCTGGCTTGTCTTGCTGACTTCTTTGCTCCAGTGTTTGTATTCGAGGCAACCGCTTCCCGTCTGGTGTTGGCTTAGCTGCTCTTTCCCTTTGTCTCTGGCTTCGTACCAAGTCCCGGCACCAACTTCGGCTTCGGGCGTTTCGGTCCGGAGGTTCGTTTTGAACCGAACGGGCCCGCCGCTCCAAAGGAGCGGAGGGTTCAAAGTTTGAAGGGTTGGGCAAGGGAACGACCAGAACCCTGCGTCTGATTTTTTAGGGGACCCCTGGAATGGATTTCGGTTTTCCCTTTGGTTTCCCCTTTAAATCCACCAAAGGGGGTACACTCCAAAAAATCACACGCAAGTGAAGCCACAAATAGAGGCGCCTGCCCTCTCGATTTCTTTACACATTGGCTAGACTTTTGTAGTACCGGGTTTTGATTGGCTCATCTTGGAAGGGCGCAAAGAGTGACACCATGGTGTAAGCAAGTGAGCTACGGTCAATACATCCGCTTGCTGGGGTTTGTAGGTATGGTATTCAGTTCCTTACCATATTTTTTTGGACAACCAGGAAAAGAGTTCCGTTTTGTTCCTATTTCACGGAACCATGACCACGAACGGACAAACACAGACCCATGGTTGTGGAAAACCGGGGTGTTTTGGGAATACCACTTGACATCACAGATCACCGGCTTTGAACTGGGATCTCATGGTTCACTAGATGACCAGCGTCAAACATACGGGTTTGTCTCAAAGTGGACCCTCAAAACTTTCAGTACCGAGTCTCAAACAAAGGCACGCCCATATTGCTTGTTGTGGCTGGGGGAGCGAAAGCTGAGATAGTTAAAGGGAAACCCAAAGGTGGTTGTTAAAAAGGGGAAATGAAATCAAGGTTGAAAGCTGTTGAGCAACCGGCCCAACCCTCTGAAGGCTGAAGGCTCGAAACATGAGCCGAGCGCCAGAAGTTCCGCCTCCCAGTGAAACCTGGGCAAAGCAGTGCAGAGCGAAACAGAGCGCGAGACCCTGCCGCACTTCTCAGGCTGAGTGTTAGACTTGCAGGTGCTCAGCAGGGAATGAGGGAAGGACACCTAGCCATCCCCTATGCTTTCCTTGAAGGGAATCACCAGGTTCATTCCCAACACCCGGACTCGGTCATTCCCTACTGAGCACCAGCAAGAAAATAGCACGTACTGTAATTTGATGTGTTTTAAGGACACCAAAAGGGGATGTTGCTTTTTTGGGAGTTTCTGGACATTGTACTTCGTGGGAAGGCCATTTTGGTGGTAAACAAAGCAACTCGTTTTGCTTTTCTGGAGCAATCCACTTAGGAGGAGATATAATACAAACTCCACCCCGCCCGGCCCCAAAAAGAAGCAATAACATGCTATTTGATGAAGGTTATTTGGGGGATTGGCAGATCCCTTATTTCAGGTTGATGTTTTGACTCACCTAGATGATTGATCCAGTTGGCCACTGGATTAACCACGTGTGCTTCCTTTCGGGTGAGTTTTCGTTTCAACAACAAGCACTCAAAAGGGGTCCTTTTTGTTCCTATGGGCGTGTGACTTTTGGATACCCTTTAAAGGTTGGTTCAAACGGGAAACCAAAAATACAGCCATCCTTTTTGGGAGTCCCCCTATTTTGCCACGTGCCCCAATGGGAAATCACTGGGCACGGTTGCCTTTTCTGATCTGCATTCCACTGTGAAACCAAACAAAGCCATTGAAACCTGCCAGCATTCCAAGCGCTGATTTTATTTATCCATGTTTAACCCCCCCGGTCAGACGTTTGCTCGGCACGAAAAAAGTCGCAAGGTTGACCAGGGACTGGATACTGAGACTCGGATTCCCTTGGCCAGACTTGACAAACCGTTTTGTGCTTTTGCCTCTTGCTCTTTTGGGTTCCTTCATGTCCCTTTTCAACCTGGAGGTGCAGTTGCTGGAGGTCGGATCCGTCAGCGAATCCCAGGGATTGCCCTGGGGTTGCGAAGCGAATGGAGACTGACTAATTGGTAGCAACTTGAGTGTTCGGCCAAGTTAGTAGATTGTTGGTAACCCAAACCCACTTAATCATAAGCCTCCTTAAGCAGGGTAAATGGGTTACATCGCGTTTGGCTGGCCACTTGCTAGCTTGCAGAATGGAACATCAAGGAAGGGTGCAACGAGGGACACTCACCGAGATTTGTCCGACGCACTTCGGGTTTCGGAACCCCGAGTACGCCCACCTGACAGACCCACTGACCCACTGACCCACCACTGACCCCGACGCCTTGAGGGTTGACGTTACTCTAAGGGTCATGAAGGCCTCAAAAGACTGCGGCTGGTCCTCTTGAAAAATGACGGTTTATAGTGGACCCTTCTTTCTCTGGTATTCATGTCTCCCAGGGTTTATATGCTGTTGTCGTTTCCCGAAACGGATTGGTGGCCCGCATTCTTCACCTTGGACGGGACATGGATCCGGGGGCTGGGGGGAGGAAGGATCGAAGCTGTATGGGGCTCCAGGGCGGAAGGGAGAGGATCAAAAGGTCCGTCACATGGGATGACCATTCGGGAAAACCGCCTTAACATGACTTTCCCACATGGAGACAGTTACCCAGGGTCGTTCGCAATGGCTCAACCCCACCAGAAACAGCGAAACAGTCGGAAGTGCCGCTGCCCCTCTGACTTTGCGTGCTTTGAGAGAGCCCGACACCAGGGGCGGTTTTCAGGCTAAGGTGAGTCACCCCAACCACCATAAGGACATAGTGATGTTTTATGGGGTCTGAAAAGGGAGCCTGTGCGCTTTCGTTGGGGGGACACGTTTTAGTTGCTCCAGCCGAAGCGCTCATGTCGAGCTCGGACAGCTCATCGGACAGCGAGGAGAAGAGGCTTTGCTGCATTGAGTCCTCGGAGAAAGTGTGGCCAGTTCAAACACCCCAATGCCAGATCCGCATTCTTGTAAAGCAGGAGGATTTGGATGTATCCTAGGAACCCTGACGGGGACCTGACATGTCACTTCTCCATTCCCCTCTCCCACTGAGAGGCCCCACTTCCCCGGAAAGAACACTTCCACTTCCAAGTCTCGGGGTCCTAGCGAAGAACTGGTTTGCCTTCCACCGGTCTCCCACTTTCAGCGGCTGTGTCGGCAAAAGGGCTCCAGCATCACTGGGGCATCACTGAAGTGGTCGCAAGCCGGAGGGTGCAGAGGCCATGTGTCAAGTCCTGCACACAACTCGGGGGCCCGGTTTGGGCTGGGACGGTTCCAACATGTCGCAGATCGGCATGTAAGGAAGGACAAGAAGAAAAAGAAGAAGGAGAAGGCCTGGTTCTGTGATGGCTGCAGTGACGAGAACGTACCAGGTACCGTGACAGCATGCATCGAATTCCCAAAACGCTGCAAGTGAAGAAGAACACCCGTGAACTTCCTGTACGTTACCATGATCCATGCTGTTCTCAGGGAATCACCGGAAGATTCCTGGGCTCATTTGTTTGCCAAGAACCAAGAGAGGGCTCAACGCAGTTCAAGCATGTCTTGGCCCCAGAGCTTTGCCATAACTGTAGAGGAAGAATAAAGAATCCAAGATCCATCGAGCATATCTTTTGAGCATGCTCCAACCCTCAAAACGCGAAGATTGCTTCAGGCATATTTGGTTGTGTTGGCAAGCTTTGTTTCATGTGGCCAAACAGCCCATTTTTTGTTTTGTTTTGCCAATGAACTCTTGTCAGAAAGGTTTCCGGATGCTCACATGATATGCAGGAAGGTCGGCCAAACCTGAACACCTCGGCTGCGACCAGGACAAGAAGAAGAAAGAAAAGAAGAAGAAGGACAAGGACAAGAAGAAGAAGGAGAAGAAGCCCATTGGCTGCACTTATCTGCCATGTTACAATTTGTTAATGAAGAGAGCGGGGGGCAACCCAGATCTAACAGCAAAACACGGGAGAGGGCCGGGGGGGGGGGGAGGAATTTCCAAGTTCCTGTTGGGAGAAGTTCGAGCAAGAGGTTTAGGTGCTTGAGTGAGGAGAGTTTTGCTTCGGACCCCACCAGGCAAGACCCCCCAATTGTTTGGCTCGAGTTGGTGTTAGGTCTTAGTCAGGCTTATGAGTTTCTTAGTTGCTAGGGCGTCTTTGGGGGTGTTGATATTGATATCCTCAAAGCCCATCCCCAAGGAAAAGTAAGAAAAGCAAGAAGAAGGCGTCTTCATCGTCCTCGGACTCCAGTTCCGATGACAAGAAGGCAAAGAAAGATCGGAAGCGGAAGCAGGACCGATCTCCCAAAAGAACCACGGCTCCACCCAAATGTCCCGCAAAAACCGGGGTTCAAGCCACCCAATGTTGCCAAATGTGTGCATGTCAATGTGTTTGTGTGGTGTGTGTGTGTGTGTGGGTGTTTGTTTTTGAGGGTACCCTTTTCAAGTTGGTCTGAAGGGAACTCCAAAGGACCGCATAATTTGTCGGAGTCCCTGAAAAACAGACGCATGCGCATGCTGTTCCCTTCTGGTTAGCTCCAGAGTTTTCCCTAGACATTAGTACAATTTCGATTCTTTGGTTCAAAGCCCTCTAATCTGTTCTTTGATATGAACTGTTGTGGGTCAGTCATTTCCGAACATGCCCTTCAAAGGGAAGCCAACACGAAACCACCCTTTTTGGGGGTTCCACCAGTTTTTGGGCTTGAAAGGGACTCCGACCAGTTTGCACTTTGATTTCCCAAGTTGAGACCGACAACTTGTTGCAACCGGACTGGAACCGAAGCAAGTTGTTCGCTGCTGAAAAAACGCGTGGAGCTCTTTCCTGGAGGCTCCGACAAAAGAAGAAGTGTATTGGTTGGTAGTCAAAGGGGAGACCAAAGGACACTGCCCGTTTTGGGAGGCCCCCAAGTTTGAGAAACACCCCTATGCGTGTCATTTTTGTTCAAGGTGCTTTTTTTTTGCAAGGGACACCAACAGGACAACCACCATTTCCAGTAAATTTCCAGTGTGCCGGCCGTGGACCCCTCAATTGGGATTTGATTCCAGGTTGCCGCTTTCTGTGAGTGGCCAAGGGAATCCCGATTCACCCGGGAAATCATGGAGGGATCCCTTTGGGGGTGAGGTTTAAACCAGCACCACTGGGTAAATCGCTTCTGGTTTTCCTTGCCAGGAAAAGGACGAAGCGAAGAATGCGTGCCTCGGGTGAAAATATGGGGATCCAGCGAACCTTTCCCTTCAAAATCCTGGAGCAAGCGTGGAAGTGCACGTTCGACCGGTTTTGGAAGACTATCGTCACCTTGCAAAGTGCACTGTTGTTGGTTGAGACACCCCCCAAGCTCCAAACCGCCAAGAACCTGCCAGCTCCCCACAAGACCAGCCGCTCCAACCCACAGAAGGACCACTTCACAGAACGGGTGGTGTCGAACATCACCTCTCCAAGGTGCCCAGATGCTCAAAACGTAAGGCCCCTCCTCCTTGGTCTCTGCCAGGTGGGTCGCTACCAAGATGCGGGAGCTGCGGAAGGCGGATCCGCAGCTCGCCAAAAACAGCAGCGAGTGTTTTTTTTTTCATGGCCAGTTGAACTGGGGATTTGCACCGCTGATTCTTGAAGGTGTCTTCAGTGGCCTCTGGAATCTTCCCAAATCAAACGTCAGCAGTTAGATAGCTTGGTGACTTGGTGGGTTACCTTCGGGTTTTTCATTTCCTTGGCTCTTTGGGGTGACCCCAAAGGCCCCGTATCTCTTTTCGGAGCCACAGGTTTTTTTCCAATTAGCATCTGCAAAAGGTGACCGACCGCTTAGGGGCCTGTCAATGCTGCGGTTTCCAGCATGGTCTTCACGGGAAGCTCGGGGTTTGGAGCGACCCTTGGCCTGGAGTCCAGAGCCCATCCCATGTTTGGTTTGTGGCTGGCAGCCCCACGCCTTTCTTTTTTGGTCAACTGAAGTCGTGGGCTTGGAAACCGGTAGGCCACTTTGAAAAAAGATAGGGGCCTACATGGACAAGGGTGGCCACTTGAGAAAGGTCTGGGCCAAATCCCATCGCTGATCTCTCAGGCCCCAGACAGGCTACTTGGGGATGCCCCACCCCCTCCCGGCCCCAAAAAAACTTCGAAGGAACAAACAATTCAGGCATCCGCAGTTTGCTTGGGGGTGTTGGGGCGTGGCTTCGTTTCAGACGCTTTGGGCTTCCAATGGAACCCCCCACCCCCTGCTTGGTTTCAAAGCTTGGTTCTGTGGGCCCCGTTTTTTTTTTTTTTTCTTCTCGGCGGGCTGAAAGGAAGCCCCAGCGCACCAAGCCGTGGGTCGTTGTTGGTAGACACCGTTTTTGGGGCGAAAGGAAGGGACACCAGAAAAAAGCGGCAATTTGTTTGGGGGGGTTTGATGTTCGGAGTTTTTTAGAAAAGGCGCGCAGCCTCGAGTCGAATGGAATTGCACCGCACTTTGTTTTCTGGGGGGTTGGGGTTTCGCCTTTCTCGGGCTCTGGGAGCCGACCAAGGAATCTCGCGCTGCGGGACGCCATGAAGCAGGCGGAGGAAGAGTATGCCGCTGGGCTGGAAGGAAAAAAACCCAGAGTGGCCCCCCCAAAATGGATACCGAGAATTTTCCAGTCTTTTAATTCTCTTCCCTTCCCTTCCCTTTCCTTATCTTCCTCTCCCTTCTTGTCCTTCCCCTTCCCTTCCCTTGTTGGCGACTCACATGGAGTTGGCCGCGAAATTAGGTTCGACCTGGTTTACATTGGGATCCTAACAAACCCACAGTATGGATTGTCTCAGAATCAGGGGACCTCGAAAAGGGTTGGTGTCCTTTTGGTTCCCTTTGAAACCCACACTTCGTAGAACCCCCGGTATCCTCGGGTGAAAGGGGACCTGCCCCCCCCCCCCCCCAAAATGAGGTTGGTTGGGCTCGGTGCCAACCCAAGCCTTTCGACCCGGTGCTGAACCCCAGGGCTTCTCCGAACATATTTTTCGCCTCTTTGACCCCCGAAACGCACCATCCGCCCCCCCCCCAAACACAACTCAACTCGGGAACAGAGTGTCTGGGTGGTGATTTTTTTTCTGGCTTGTGACATAGGTCAGAAGAAATATGGAGCAGACTCAGCACACTGTGTTTTTTGGTGTACCCGGCGAATTGGGCCAAGTCAGTGGGGTGGGTGGGTGACTTCAAGAAGGTTTGATGTTGATGGGGCGCAATCCATTTTAGAAGCCAAATTATGGGATCAAACACCCCGTTTTTTTTTTTTTGTTTTTCTGCCAGGTCGATTGCTCAGCGGCCGGCATCATTATTCAAACCCACAACCAATGCCCCCCAGTCAAGAAGAACACCTTGCCACTGTAGAACCACCCTTAGCCAAACCCCTCCCTCCCCTTGGCCTCAGGAAAATGCTCATAGCCCAACCTCCCTTTTGCGTTGGCAGCAACAAACACACAGTGGGGTCACCCCACCTCCTAAGCAGGCGATTTTATTTCTGCGACTCGATTGCTCGTTGCGAGCCGAGGAGAAGGTCTTCAACGGCGCAGAGGCAACCGGCAGCATGGTGCTCTGAGATTTAGACCTTCCATGATCTTAAGAAGGATTGGATGTCATGATTTCCCCGTTGGCTTTAAAGGGAATCTATCACTGTTGGATAGATGTTCATGGCTTCCTGGACAGGACTTTTCGGCACATGGAGGAAAACCATGTCAACGAAACACAAGTTGCCCCAGCTAGTGGGTGCAAATCAACTTTTGCCGGTTGATTTTTCTTTGAGGGGCCCCAAAAACACTAATAAAGGGTTCCGATTCGTTGGACAAATGTGGGAAGACTACTTTTTGAAGGCAGAACCTTCCTGTCCACTTCCATGAGTCTTGGAAGGAGGGGTAGAGGTAACCAAGGGAACCACCGTTTTAAACCCACGCAAGATCATGTGAGCCACAATCAACACCCGGGTAGATGAAAGATGAAGGTTCATAAGGGGCAGTCCCAGCCAGAAATAGTTGCGGCCGCTTTCTTAATTCTTTACATGGTTCTGGGTAGACAATAGACCATTTCAATATTGGGTTTTGATTGTGACTCATGTGGATGTTCTAGCCTCTGTGTTAGTTAGATACCCAGCAACCTTTGTGTTTGGGACCTTAGAATAACTAAAATGAGCATTGCAGGTTTGCCTACATTGGCAACTGAATAATATGAGGGTCCAAAAGATTGCACACAGTCTCTGATCACTCACGTCTTTTGGTTTTGACGTTCCCCACAACGCCATTCCAATTTTTGAACACTCTTCAAGTAGCAGTAGACACCCTCCCACCCACATTACCATGGAACCCATAGAGAACCAAGATGGGCAACCGAAGCAGATTGCGCAAGGGAACAAGCTGGAGCCTCTGAAACTGAAACTTGCCAATCAGGTTGCCTAGAGCCTCACGGGCTTTCTCGGAAAAAGAACACATGATGTCCGTTTCCGGGGGGGGGGGGGGGTTCCACTCCCTTGAAAAAAGCCAGCTTCATAGGCCATTTTCATAGGTTCCCATCTTTGTGGACGTTCCTGCGCAAATGTTGTTGTTGGATGAAATGCTATGGCAGCTGCTATGGTTTCATGTGGAATCATTGTAATATGTTTAATTGTGTTTTGTTTATTATGGAAGTCCACTGGGCTTGCGCTGAATATTGCAGGTGACAAGCCAAGCAGTGGCTCCCAAGGCCGGAGCAGTCGAAGAGTCGAAGAAGTGGCAAGTTGAACAGCATGGCCGGAAAGTCGCGCGCTCCCATGTCAATTTGTGGGCGTGAACATCACCTTAGGGCGAATTGAAAGCGAGCTTTAGGTGGGTGATGCTGAAGGAAATATGGAGACCCAGAGACTCCACCGCGCAAACTCGGCTTGCTCTTGAGTCCCCCATCTCAAGCGCGGAGAGCACCCACAAGCCCCATTGGCCAGTTTTGCAGTTGGTTCTACTGACTTGGCTTGACAGGAATTTTATCTGTGGCCCTTCAAGTGTGACAACTGCGTTGGTGCCAATTGATCTTCGAGTTTTGAGACCCCGCTGCTCACTCCATCACGCTGCAGAAACGGGGCCATGACCTTTTTGGGAATGACCGGTCATGGAGACTCCATGTTCCTTGCCTTTCTGCAGATTTTCTTTTCGGCTCGTTGCCGTTATGAACGTTTTCCGCACGCGCAAGCCTTCGTTCCTCGAAAAGAAATGGCGGTTCCCTTGCATGGTCGTACCCACAACCGCATCAGGGTAGCCTCTGGACAATAGAACAAAGTAGGTAAGGGAAGCGGGCAAAACAGATCCGTAAGTTTGGGAAGAGGATTGGCTTTGAGGGTTGGGTGCAGGGGTCCTTGTGATGTTTGAGCTGAAGCTCTTTTACGCCTCCGGTGGAGGGTATGTTGAAGCTTTGAGCGATGGCGCTGGGCTGAGTGATGCATCTCTGCTTATGGTGCTGGAGTTTGGCTCTGCCGCTCTGAAGAACATGGGGTGTTGTCTTTTCATGTTGTTTTTTTTCATTTGAAGGGGGTGCGCTGTTTTGGGATTGTGAAAGAACACCAACACTGAAGCCAGTCTGTATGGAGTTACCCTCTTTGCAGACAAACCCAATTTCAAACACGCATAGCTCAAGCAGGATCCCATAAAATAGGTAGGCATGCCTAAACAAATCGGTTGAGGCGAAAAAGCAACCGACACCGCGCGTGCATTTCAGCCGAATTCGCGAAATGGTTCTAACCGGTCATGGTGAAGCCATGTTTTATGGGGCCAAAATGACCATGGGCAGATGGGAAACGAGCTGGTGCTTGTTGTTATTTGGGACTCGAACTTGTGACCTCGTTACCAGTGTGTTTCCTCCAACTCGTCTTAAAATGAGGGGTCTGCAAAGGGCGTCTTTCTTTGAAAGAGTTCGCACTCCGCCTAGGTTTCGTTGCGCAAGATGGATGGATACCGCTTTGCTTTTTTTTGTTCAACGGCAAGCTGTCTTCATGAAACACCGAAGGCGCCGCCTGTGCCGCCAAAAGCATATACAACCCGACGGGCCTAGGCGCGGAAGGAGGAGAACGAAACCTCGCTCACAGCAAGCGAGGGCGCCAGAAGACAACCGCGCAGGAGTGGGCACCGACAAGGAAAATACAGAACGGGCCTAAAATCCACAGTGACGACAGTGCACAGTGGTGGACTCCAAATTGACCTGAAACCAGAGAGCAAGGTCGGGACAGGCCGAGTATTCTAGAATCTAGACTGTGACGCGACAAGCGCAAGAGCAACACCGGGGACAAAGAGATGACGGCAGCGTCAGAAAGAATGAGCGCAAACCAGCGTGCGCTTCAAGAAATTGTCGAACCGTGTGCAGATCATGCCCCTCCCCACCCCCCTCCGCCTTACGGTCAGCCGACACAGCAAGAATGCAACCAAGCCGTTTCATACAGCGGCGAACATGTGGAAATTGCAATAAAGGCCAACACACACGTTCGGTTTTCGAGCCGGAGCACAAGCACCACCCGTGGGTTTCATCTGCCTTGGGCATGGTTGTGGAAATTTTGGTTTCAGAACGATTTTCTGTGATCCAAGGGAACTCCCGAAGGCAGAAAGTCGTCTTGGGGATCGAACAACAGGCCCGCGACGTTTGCAAATTCTCGGTCTCTGTGGTCTCTGGTCTCTTTTCTTTCTTACTCGCACACTTTGGCAGTTGCCCGTTCCCACTTCTATCAGTGCCATATATATATATATATATCTGTGTGTGTGTGTGTGTGTTTTAGGCTACCCATTTGTTTCTTGCCGTTTTAAACGGAAGCCAAAGGGAAAGCTGTCTGACACACACCACAGTTAAACCAGACCCTTGCCAGATTCAGATCCAGCCTCAAAGCCCATGACAGATTTTGGTTTGCTGTGTCATCCGATGATATGTTGGCGAGTTTGGGTGATCTTGCTCACGTGTTTGTTTGCCTAGAATCCCATGATTGTCACCCCCCCTAAAAAGGCACTCAGTAAGAACCTTACTGTGGATGGACAAACATTGGGACGGATAAAAGCGCTATGAATTCCGGAGTAAACAATCTACTAACTGGTGCGAAGTGGATTTTGTCCACACACACACACAAGGAACACTTTATCTCACCAGTGGCCTCTGTTCTCGCAATTCGCCCCTGGGCCTAGGTTGGGACCTGCCGGAAGTCAGCACACTCACATGAGCCATGAGGAGATGCATGCGTTGCCGGCGATGGAGATGTCGATCGACGATGAGGCCAAGATTCTTTCTTTTTTTTGTCAAGCTATGGTACATATGCCTGGGTTGAAATGGAGTTATGGTCAAAGTTGGGTATCTGGCCTAAATCCTTGAGTTCAAGATCTTCGAAGCAGAATTTGTGTGAATTCCTGACGGGGATTGTCGGACAAAAAGGGTGAGATGTGGTCTAGACTTTGCTTTGCGTGGCGTCTGGATAAACCAGACTCTTGGTCGCTGGGAGCTTTTAGATCCTAGTTCTCTGTAGGTCTTCCTATCGGAATTCAACAGTTTGCCAGGGGTTTCCTGCAAAGAAATTCTGCGCGTGAAGACACACGCCTATGAACCAGAATCCGAAGATATGGCGGTGGGTCAAAACCAATGGTACCATTCTGGGGTAGGTGCACCACATTGCACCACCCATTTTAGAACCTATTTTAGTGGGTATTGGGATGTTCACTGAGGGTACGATTTGGATTTTGACCCATGGCCATATGGGTGTGGGTCAAGAATAGGTATCCAAAATGTAACCCTGGCAAATGGAAACAAGGACTCAAACCTGCGGCTTTTCCTGGTGGTATGATTTTTTGACCCGTACCCCCAGTGAACATCCCAATCCCCACTAAAATCGACTAAACTGGGTGGTGCACCTATCCCAAAATGGGATCCCATTGGTTTTGACCCATGGCCATAGGATTCTTGTGTACCCCACGGCTGCGGCTTCAACTTTTCCGAGGCGCAGGTGGCCAGGAGTGTGGCCGCCAGCCTCAGCATCCTCGAGGATGTGACGCCGGGGCAGCTGATGAAGATCTTGGACACCGCCCTGGTGCAGTCCAAGGCTTGCAAACCTGCCAGTTGCTTAGGAGCATATGTGTTCCTGTGAAATCAACAGGGAATCTGAAGCGAAGTAAGGAGAAAGGCCATCACTTGCAGTGCTTTAGCGACTTCACGAGGGCTCCTGTCTCGGGCCCCCGGATTTTCGGTTGGAGAAGCCTTTTGAAGGCCACGTCCAAAGGAGCGGTGTGATGGGGAAAAACATGGGAGCGTGCTCTTCGAAAAACCGGTGGTCTTCCGGGGAATTGGCGGGGTGCCTTTTGGACGAAGGAGCACGACATTGCACCACTGGGTATAGACGTTCGAATTGCTTCGGCCCAAACCGGACTGGCACGCGGGTCTTCCGTTTGCTTTTGACTCTATTTTGTTTCCCCCATCCCTGCAGCGGAATTGAGCCGGCCTTTTCCCATGTTTGCCAGAATCACGAGCTCCGAGCCAAAGGAGCAATCCCAATGTAGTGGAATGCCGACCCGTGGGTTCCGGCTTCCATCCCTGGAGTCAACAAGAAACATAATTGGAGGGTTGTTTTAACACTTCCCCAGACTTGGCTTTCCTTCTTGATTTGTCGCTTTTGTTTGGGATCCCCCTTGTTTTCCACTATAACCAGGCAAATAACAGTGTTTCGCTGGGTCCTACTTCTAGCCAAGAAAATGGGTTGGAACTTGTCAAGTTCGGTGTCTTTTGTTGGTTCCATTCAACAAAACATTTCATGCCCTTGCTTCTAAGAAGGACACACCCGTGTGGCGATGGTTGATAGAGAGCCGTGCATCAAGGGGCGAATTGAATTTCACGCCCATGTTACAAAGCGTGAGATAGGCTGCTTTGTTTTCCTCTCATGTTGACCCAGCACGGCGATGGTTCGCAATGAAGTCGGCTTGGACACCCATAGGTGGGAAGTACTACAACTTAGACTGTGCCATGCCTCTTGCAGGTTCCATGTTCTCCCCTTTTGGAAGTATGGGTTTCCTTCCATCCGACACACGGACTTTTCCTGAGAAAGCGCCACAAACACGGGTTTTCGCCTCGGGTCAGCCGGTTCGATAGAGGCGATCTTCGGGTGCGGCATCGCCTTTGAGCCAGACAGCTACAGCTCCGCAGGGGACAGCGGCAACAGCTCGCACCAAGGATGCGAATGGAGTTTTTGGACCCAGGTTTTAGCTGATTTGGATTGGAGACCTGGTTTATGGCTCAAATCAAAGCAAAAAACACACACTTTCGGGCACTGTATAGCTTTGGGACCATGTTCAATACCAGGTTTTGATAAAATATTTTCATGTTTCAAACACTTGGCGTTTGGCACCCACCCTCTCAAAACCGGGCTCCCTGCAATCTCCCTGGGTTTAAACATCAGCTTGGCTTGCTGGGTTCCTGTACGACATGTCGGGCAGCTGTGTGAAGTTGACCCCCAGTGATGTTTTTCGAAGCAGAGAAACCGGGCTTTATGGGAAGGTCCTGCCACTGGCTGGTTGTGGGGGAGCAAATGAATAGACATGTCGCAAAAGTGCAGCCCTTTGCAGGTTTCGGGGCTTTGGGATGGTCGAAAGTTAGCCTGATCATGACGCTGGTCGGAGGACGTTCGGAGAGCGTTCGGAGCAGGCGCAGCACTTTCGAAAGGTACAGACTTGGTGGCCGGCGCAGCACTTTTGCAAGGT